AAATGAGAATCTCACCCCGTGACGCCGCCGTTGGCGTCCCTGATGGAAGCGTGAGCCTGGCCCGGGTGTGCGTACCCGAAAGCGGCGTCCCCGACGTTACTCTGCGTGTGATACTGGGTCGCCAAGTAACCCTCGGCGTCTGCGTCGTTTGTTCCTTGGCGGTGTCCATGGTGTGGGGCACCGAACGACGCCAACGGCGCCGTGTGTGCGAATCCGTAACTGAATCCGGGTTTCGCGTTTGGGTTCGATTGCACGGGTGCCGATTCGCTGCCCGCTGACGCCGCCACTGCGAAAACGCCGTCGAGCGGCGCCGCGTTTGTCGGGGACAGGACGTTGAGGATCGTCAGGGTCGAGGCAACGACGGAAAATGCGTTCTTCAAAGAAATAAAAACGCGTGAATTTAGCAAGTTTTTTTTTTTCGTCATTTAGGGGTCGTGGTTTAAAAGCTGTCGCATTTTGGCCTTGTTTCCCCAAACGAGAAAAATGCGAGTTTTTATGTACCGGTATTTATTTTCGATATTATTTGAAGCACTTCGGCCGTTTTTTTCAGGTTGTATTCTGTCAGGTGAAATGAGAAATTTCGGTTACGTTTTCAGATTTCAGGAAGACGAAAACAAGGTACAATAGCTTAATTTAGTCTGAAATCTCAAAGTCGATTTCATTGGTTTTTTCTGGGATTCTGTGAAGATTCTAAAAATCGGTTCTGTACTTTTTCCCGTGTTGGAAGAAAGTTAATCATTTTATCCCATTTGGGAAAGCAATTTTGGTTGGCCAGGGTATATTCAAATGTTTGCATCCTTTTTTTTAAATAAAAATTTAAAGCCTTAGTTCAGAATTAGTGTGATACAGTATTTGGACGAATTTCATGTGTGACAATTGCTCGAATTTATCAAGTGATACTTGGATTTCTTACGTCAGTGATTGGATATGATTTGAAATAAATCGGTTGGATTTAGTGTGCAAAAGTTTCATTAGCTTTGCAAATAATTTTTCTGAGAACATGATTTGAAATTAATTGATTGGAATTAGTGCTTTAAATGTCAATAGCTTCGTTAATGAATTTGTTTTAAGAATGCTTTCGAGGATCAGAAATGGCAATTTATAACATTTCGACGAATTTCGAACACTCACCGAATGCATAATTTATTGTAGAACCTTTGCTCGTGAGAAAGACTGGAACCCAATCAGCAGTTCTTGATTTCCGGAAATTTCCTTCCTCCTTACCAAACAACCGAAATGTGTTGCCGGTGCGAGAAACTGAAAATTGTTTCCTGAGAAAAAAATTAGGGACACAAAAAAAATTTTGTCTTCCCTATAAAAACTGTGCGCTGTTCCGCCGCGAGCGTTCGGAGCTTCAATGGTTGAACTGACGCATCCACGGGCTTTTAAAGGCTTCCCGTTTTTCTCGCGCCGAATAGTAATTTTTGTTGCACCTATTTTCCACCCCGGTTCTCTCTTTTTTTATTATTTTTTATTTTAATTTAGTGCGGTTGGAAAGATTTAATGAATTTAACCTTCGGGCTTTTTCGAAGCGCCGCTGAGAGTTTTGGGTTTTCATTTTTTTTTCCCCATAGCGGCTCTCTTGGACGTGTGATACTCTGGTGATCGGAAAAATCGGAGGTCGTATTTATTTTTCTTGAAAGATTTTGAAGAATTATTTGCTGTTCATGTTTCTTTGCAGCAGACAAGTTTTAGTTAATTTCTAAAAGTTTCTACTTCTTTTACTCGGATGATCGGAAAAATTGAATGCTCATATTTTTTTTCTACTAGTCTTGAAAACAATTTCGCTGCTGATCTTTTTGTGCTGAACGGAAATTCCATGGGATTTCAATGAGTCCTTATTTCTTTTCTCATTCACTGGAAAAACAAGATGTTATATTTTTGAAGTGCAATACAGTTTATCATAATTTCTTCTTCTGTTTTTTTCTATTCAAATTGAGAGAGCGCAATTTTTTTCATGTTGAGTTGTAAAATCAAGTTCAGTATTTTTGTGTCGGTCTTGCATGAATTAAGACAAATAAGTTTGATTACCAAATAAAGATTCCTTTGAAATGAGCTATTGACAAATTGACTAACGCTGTAACCAGCCAAGCGATGTTTGAAAAATCTGAATTTTTGACGCGAAAAAGTCAATTTCTGGTTTGAAGCTTTTAAAACGTAATAATTTTCAGATTTATGTATTCCGTTTCCCGGAAGTATTACAGTATTCAAATTGTACATACGACTTGACGTATCCGGAATTGATATTTTCAATTATTGAGGCCTTCACGAGATTGTAGTGCTCATCTGCGTTCGGAAAAATTCTCTATTAAAACGTTACGCAATGGAGAAACGGATGAAATCCACGCGAAAACAGCCAAACGAACGAAGTTTGAATGAGATATTGGACATTCATTTCCGCTTGCAGTATTTTCTTTGAAATTCAAATTTCTGAGCTTTTGAAGGATGTGAATTCGGTTTGATTTTTAAGAATAATTTAAGAATTTTAACTTAATTCTAAAATTAAATTATATTAAAAATCATTATTTTTTCTCCTTTTGTCTGAAGAAGGACGCGATTTTGCGGACATTTTTTTCGGAGACTGAGGAAGTCGTTGATACAATTTCAGGTGTGGAGAACCGTGTGTGAACTTGAACTTGGCTAGCCCGGAGGCAACATTTCCGGAAGCCTGGTTGATGAGGTTTCCGGTGCTAGCCTTGCCTCGGGCATTGCTTGCTTTTTTTTTTTAATTTATTTATTCCACTGCTTTTGTTAATGGGATGCAGTTCGTGACCCGTTCGCAGTTGGAAGACAATTTCGATGGTTGGATTTGTAGGAAGCTTTTTCCACCTCACAGTTTTTATGCGCATTTGGGCCTTTGGATTACTTTGCGATACGTGTTGAGGAGAANTTACGCAATGGAGAAACGGATGAAATCCACGCGAAAACAGCCAAACGAACGAAGTTTGAATGAGATATTGGACATTCATTTCCGCTTGCAGTATTTTCTTTGAAATTCAAATTTCTGAGCTTTTGAAGGATGTGAATTCGGTTTGATTTTTAAGAATAATTTAAGAATTTTAACTTAATTCTAAAATTAAATTATATTAAAAATCATTATTTTTTCTCCTTTTGTCTGAAGAAGGACGCGATTTTGCGGACATTTTTTTCGGAGACTGAGGAAGTCGTTGATACAATTTCAGGTGTGGAGAACCGTGTGTGAACTTGAACTTGGCTAGCCCGGAGGCAACATTTCCGGAAGCCTGGTTGATGAGGTTTCCGGTGCTAGCCTTGCCTCGGGCATTGCTTGCTTTTTTTTTTTAATTTATTTATTCCACTGCTTTTGTTAATGGGATGCAGTTCGTGACCCGTTCGCAGTTGGAAGACAATTTCGATGGTTGGATTTGTAGGAAGCTTTTTCCACCTCACAGTTTTTATGCGCATTTGGGCCTTTGGATTACTTTGCGATACGTGTTGAGGAGAAAAGGTGTTGGATAAACTACAGTACTTGAGAACCAATAAATCGATTATTTCGGAAGCCTAGGAGTCAAGGCCTTTTTCAAGCATTATAGGAGGTTTTTTCTTTCTTTTAGAGACGCTGTTGCATTATTTTAACCCCTCCGATCTCTCATTAAATTGTTGTAATTTTTTTCGAAAGCAAAATGGGTCTTCAATAAATTTTGTGCAAGAAATTACGCCGCGAATAATTTATTCTCTCAGTGTGCTCAAGTTTTTTTAATCTTGTGATTTATCCGAGCATGATTGTGTCACTTTATTCTGGAATTTTTCAGGGTAACCTCCTAAATTCTTGAAAAATAGAAGGTGTGATGGCACGTCTTTTCGATTCAGCGTACATGATTGTAATTTTGTAAATATGAATTCTGTCTATGTCCATGTTTTGAATTAGCTTTTGTCAATATTTCCTGGAAGGTCCTTTTTTAGGGCTTGTAATATAGAATTGCGTGGAAATTGTTTTGTAGTTACCATGCAGAATGATATCTTTTTTGCTGAACTAGGCAAATTTTAAGGCCTTCAAGCCGAGTCCGGTTATTGTCTCGTGAAATTTTTCAATCCACAGATTCAACTCCGAAATTATTACAGAAATATAAGATGAGTTAGCGCGCTTTTTCGATTCATCATCCGTCATTGTAAAATATGAATTGTGGTTGCCTATGTTCTGAAATACATTTTGGCATATGTAGCTCAAGCTTTTTTTTTAAAGCTAGCATCATGGAATATTTCTTGGAAATTTTTTTGTGTTTTGATGCAGACTGAGTCAGTGTTTTTTTTTTTTTTTTTTCGGGACGCAGTTAATTTGGAGTTCAGTGATTAATTTTCCCTTTTTCTCTTCTTCACAGCTCCTGGTCCATCTTTGGAGAGAGCGACGACGTCATTGGCATCATTGGGAATTCAAGAAGAGAAGCGGAGTTTCGGGATGGAAGTAGCTCAGCTGCTAATATCTTTGCTGCATGGTTGGGGACTGGATCCAGACCTGGATCGGGTTTGTCAAGCGAAACTCGGGCTTTTGCGTCCCATGGTTCCCGTGTCATTCGGTCTTCTATCTCGTGGAGGTACAGTACAGTACATTACTGTACATATATTCGTGTCAATGAGGAATTTTTTGCTCGAAATATTGTCGAGAGGTATTCAGGAGACGAATCGGTTTCAGCTAGATATTTTTGTCCGCATATTGCGGTGGGTCTTTTTTTTTTTTCATTGCTGAAGCTTTTTTAGGGTCGCTTCCTGTTTTCAACTCGGTCTACAATTCCTAAATTTTCAGTCGAGTCTAAATTGTTTTTCTGGACTTTTTTTGTGAATCACGTTTTTATGTTGAGATTTTTTCAATTCTTAAATTTCACGTTGAAGCGGATTTTGATCCAATGAATATACTGTACAGCGTTCCCTGAAACACGACTAATTATGAGCATTCCTGTAAAACACTTCTCGAACTTCATTTTTGATGCATATAATGCAAATTCATGTTCGGTATTGGAAATATGTCACATGTCAGGTTTTGCAGAGTGTATTTCCATAGGTGAGCATTCAAAGTTCAAAAGATGAAAAAAATGAATAACGTGTTTACTGGTTTTATGACTTCATATCTGCAAGAAATGGAGGTCTTTATTTTGAAGAATCTTGGCGGTATTTCAGACGATAATGACATGACTAAAAAATATTTGAATGGATTTAGTTTACGTACCTCATCAAATTTTAAGGGCTACGCTAGTTTTTTTTTTTTTTTCCTGTTCAAATGAGTTAATTTACATTAAGATCAACTGTACTCACCGGGAAAGAGGTTTCAGGAAGCTTGGTGAAATCAGTGTATACGTTAGAAACTGGAAATTGAGTACTGAAGATTCGCTGACAGTTCTGATTCACGAGCTTCGCGTGGCGGAAGCCAAGCCTATTTTAATGAGAATTGAACGTCCCTCTTATTTCCTTCAATATTTTTATCCTCAAAAATATATCTCAATGTTCTTTTCTGACTGATCACATTGGTTCTTTAAAAAATTTTCCCCCAGGGTATATGTCGCTGTTTCTGCCTACTTGGTTCCCTCCAGTCGTGCAGCCGGTGGAAGTGGCCGAGAACCTCCCACTCAAGGAGTACGAGGTTCTGTTGGCGAAGAAGACAGAGTTTTTCACCGCCAGACCAGCGACCCTTGACCGGGGACGGTATTGGTGAGTGGTGGATAACTGCTAACAGAGGCACAGGTTATGAGAGTACAGGTACAGGTTGCGGTGTAAGGACCCGCTCCTAGTTTTTGCACGGTCCAATTCGAAGTGGGTATTGTTTATTTTATGTATTTTTTTTTTTTTTATTTGGATCACCCGCAAATACAACGAAGCATTCCATCGCATGAAGCCGTTTCCTTACCGTATTTAAATTTAGGATATCAGGCGTTGAAAAAGAAAACGACATGATTTTTAAATTTAAAGTTAAACGAATCAAAGTGTTTTTTTTTCTCCTTGTTTTGCAGACAAATGACGCTAAAGGATGGAGAGGCGATTAATGATAACCAAGTTAAACAAGGATGGAGTTTGTTGACTTGGAACGTAACGTAAAACAATGGGCTATAACAGCGACCCTTCATGTTTGCGTAAGCTCATTCACGTAAAGAAGTAGTCTAGTTACTAAAAAAACCATTGTGACAAGTGAAAAAATGTGAAAAAAAATGGTTGAAATGCTGGCGAGACGTTGGCAAGATCGATGCGAGCTCCATTTCATAAGCTTTAACGAGAGAACTAAACTCGCACTTCGAATAGTTTATCCCTAGCTGAAAACACTCTACAGAAGGCGTAAAGAGGACTTTCGCAACTTTTATTACCCAGTTAAAAAAAATTCTATTAATTGAATGTCTTTTCTGACACCATAAACTTCGCATCTGTGAAGTGAACCGGTAGTCTGTGAAATGCGGACGATATTTATTAGATAAGTTGCATTTATGGCGATTCCGTGATTAACTTGAGTTTTAATTTTTATCTCAAATTCCTCAAGAACGAGCGATGCATTGGAATAACTTTTTTTTTCTACAATTGGATTCCTTGAATGCCGCATTAGGTTCTCGTCAGATCAGGATGATTAATGGCATTTTAACATCGCATGTTGCATGTAAAAATTAATTTAAAAACTATATGATTTGCTCTTTCAAGGTCAGAGAAGGGGCTCAGGCGTTACTGTTGGCGGAACTGAACCGAATCGGGCCAAAAGGCAGAAAAGCTCTAGTGGAAGCATGGGCTCCGTTTTTGCCGACTTTTAGCGAAATCGTTTCGTCGTCGTCTGCGCATCAAGCACACGGTGTTGGCAGCCAAAATCCAACTGCTGCTTATTCTCACGGTGCCCCTCAATACCACGGGCATCATGGACAGGTAAACAGAGTATTTCGTTTTTTCTGTGCAGATTTTTTTTTTTTTTGTTACATTTTTTCAAGTGGTGCATCTGTGCCGTGTTTCCGCGAAAATATGACCTTCCGATGAAAAATATATTTTTCACCAGTTTTCCCCGATTTTTAATTTATCTCCCTAAAGTTGCCCCTTTCTTTTCAACAGTTAATCGTAATTAGGATTGCTATTTCTAAAAATTCTGGATTCGATTCTTGAGAATTTAATCCATTACTGGTTGATTTTTTTTAACTTGGTGGTAAAAAGTGATAGAATATGCCCTGAAAATTGAGCCAAGGGCTGCAGTGGAAAGGAGGATTGAGACATTTCTTAAAATTTGAAGAAAACTAAGTTTTATGCAAGGATAAACGCCGGAGATTCATGTGGTCTTTTTAAAAAAAATCATCCGCATGTCGTGATGGTCAAGAAGTTAATCTTGCCATGAGATAAAAGTCAGCAGGCTGCTGCTAACTTGGCAATGTATAAATTCATGTGTATTTTAAAATCGAGAAACTGTACTACATTTCCAGTCTTTCAAATTGAAGTTGACAAACATTTGAGACATTACTGTATCTTGAAATTGTTACGATGTACGAATTAATGGAGTGTACTGTTTATACTGCAACAGCGTTTTTTCAACAGATTCCAGAGAGAGAAAAATAATCATGTTTACAGTCTGTAAATATGGTTATACTGTACCTGTCTTAGTTCATGTGAAACGCTGTTCTTGGCCGTGTGTCGTTTGGTTTCTGGTGTCTCGAACATTTTATTTTTTTCAAAGTCTCATTATTTCTCTCTTTTATTTATTTTCTTCAGATGCAGTCTCATGGACGATCCAGTTTACAAATAAATGGACCTCCTCTATCCCAAGGCGATAATAGAGCAACGTCTCCCATACCGCCGAATGGAAACGTAATGCCCGCCACTGAGAAGAATTTGAAGGGTGGCGACAACGACAGCGATAGTAATTCTGACGAAGACGAGGTCATCGGTAGGTGATCACTCCTATTTAAAAAATGGCATGCTAACTTGAATGTACGCTTACTTTTCGATCTGCGAAGGTGATGCCGGGAAAAAAGACTTGATGTCAATGGCAGAGATGAAGCGAAAACAAACAACATCAATCGTTCTCATGGGTGTTATCGGTGCGGAGTTCGGACAGGAGTTGGAACCCATCAGGAAAAAAGAAGAGGTCTCGCTTTACCCTCAAGCGAATGACGGGAAACAAGTCCAGGAAGGCTTTGGGATCGCTCAGGCACTTGCGAGACAAACCAGTGCGTCTTATCTGTTAATTTCCTCACGAAATCCGATTTTAATCCCTTTTTTTTTCAAGTAGGCAAGGAGCATTTTAAATTATATAATACTGTAAATTTAAAAGATTGGCTGTATTGTATCCTGGCTTTTGTATTTTCAAAAAAGTTTCTTCCACTCGTGATTTTTAAAATTTTTATTTCGGATGATGGAGCTAAGAAAATGATTCGCCGGTGCATCTTCAATTACGCCTTCCGTCTAATCCACGATCTACGAATTTTTGCAAGGTCTGAGTGACACGGAGTTTCCCGGAAAACAAACCTAAACCTTCTCAATTGATGCGCTTCATTCACAATGTTTTTCCAGTGTTACAGAAGGTTCAGGAGTGACTATTTCAAGGAAAAAATCTCTGGATTCGTTCATTCTCAAATTAAGAAAGCCGAGAATTGTGTCCAGGCGGTCTTCAAAAAAATGTCGGAAATGGGTGGAGAGAAAAATCAAATTTATGATGCAATGTTTGGTGCATTTTTCCAGAACTGAACGCGGAAATCTTGAATCCCCTAATATTTTAAACGCAGAGAAAAATTGAATGTCAAGCTCGATTTCGTTTACCTGCAGCTCAAGCGTTGTCGTATCTGCTTCTGGCTCCACCATCTCCTGGTTTACCGCCTTATTCTGCACTACGAAGATCTGCTGTGGATCTGATTGGACGAGGTTTTCCGGTATGGGAGCCACATTTGGAAGTTTCCAAGGTTCTCTTGGGATTGTTGGAATTGTGTGCCGCGGACGCTGACAAACTTGCCCCTAGGTTAGTTGCACTTATTTTTTTGTTTGTTTTGATATCCTGTATGAATTCTAGTGATTGCTTTTGCATTAATCTACGCATTTGCAGTATGGAGTATGGATTACCATTGACGCCAGTTGCAGATATGTGTAGAACTTCTCGTCACGCCCTGTTGTTGGTCGCGACTGCCAGACCGCAAGTGTTCATTACAACTCTGGCACGAGAGGTGGGAAATGCTTTTTTGCTTCAGTCCGACGCTGTACCGTATTTTTTGAACAGATGTCGCTTGAATCAGTAGGCTGGCGAAAAATAACGTCCTAAACTGAATGATAATCAATTCCATTCCTCTTTTTGATTCAATCCCCTAAATTATTAAAAATACTTGATGAGCTTTCCGTGCATTCAGGTTGCCTGAATTACAACAACAAAACTAGTTTCAAAAAACCGATTTCTGAACTCGCCTCGGGAAAAATTTGGCGCGAGATTTTTGTTGGTGAGAGCTGCTCATTTCATGAGTTCTTCAGTTGATTTCTCGCACGACGCGTGCTTCGTCCAAAATTTGTCGTGATTTTTTTTTTATATGCGATGATTAATTCTGAATATATTCGAAATACTGTTATGTATTTCGAAGCATTGTTCTTAACTTTGCTTTTGTCGTTCGCTAAAGTAGTACTCACGTAAAATAACATTCCATTATTTTCGTCCAAAACGTGAAGAACCTGAATGCCCGTATTAAACGTGGCCTAACTTACTCGAGCGAATTCGGGTAACTTCTGTGTTGAGCGAAATGAAAATCCCAGAGAACCGGACGTTAAGCGCTAAATTGAAAAGAGCCCTAATTTTATCTATATTTTTTGTCTGCTATATTTTGTTCTTGGATCATTTCTTCATCCGTTTCTTTTTCTCCTTTCTTTAAGGTTGCGAGATACAACACTTTGCAGCAAAATGCGCAAACCTTGAATGTGAATCTGTCCGCATCTGTCCTTGCGAGAGCAAAAGCGGATATGCTGCGCGTTTTATCAAAATTATTCGAAACCCGACAACTTGAGGTTGTGAATCTCATGGTTGAGGTGAGTCAGTTTGTTTGCTTTTGTCGGACATTTTCTTCACTTCTTTATTTTTTATTTTTTGCTTTGACAGGTGATGGACATCGTTTTGCATTGCATCGATACCGGCCATTTGAGAGCGAAAACTTTGCAAGAAGTTTTTCCGACGATTTGTCGATTTCCCATGGTCGCTCATTGTTTGCAAACGAGACGGATTGCAGTTGGAGCTCAGAACGGCCAACTTGCCTTGTATGAGCTCAAAGGATCCAAATGTCAGGTGAGACTCCTTTTTCTCTCACGCGAAGTTCGGATCATCACAATATTGCAAGAGACGATCGAAATTTGAAAGAAAAAAAATACGGAAAAGCGTTTGTGTTTAATGATTTTGCTGATTTCATTCATCAATAGATATAAATGTTCTATGGACGTGAATGAAAAATAGGTTCTGTCGACCTGAACGGTTGATGTCCCGCACGCCTTGATGTTTTTGGTTCATTTTGTAAGTGTAGCTGAAATTTTGATGAGGAGATTTTCTGACCAAACTACCCTACGACCCAGTGGAGGCCTGGCTTTTCAAGTTAAAAAAAAAAAAAAAAAAAATGAGTGACGTTTTTCTTCCCATTTTGTAACCTATATTGGAGTTTGTAGGGCAAAAGGCCCACAAAGAATTTGAAATGATAAGAATGCACAATCCGCCGGGGAACACGGCAGGAAGATTCACGGTGGTATCTTCAAAAGAATAAGAGCAATTTGTATTTCGAAAAGTGAGGACAAGAAAAAAGTTATCAATAAACTTGGTAAGATACGAAAATCGGGAGTTCAAAAAATGATAGGAAATTCACTAGGTAAATCTTCGAACGCAACCGAGCACTTCGAACGCAGAGAACATAATGCACGAATAATTTAATCGCGAAACAGTGAGTTTGTTGATTGCGCAATGCGGGAAATTCCCGCTGCCGCATTCCAAACATGCTTTTATTCAGGTTGATATGTAAGGTATTGTTGTTATTTTCATGACGAGCCCTCTGTGCCCCACAGAGTTATTGAGTGAAAGTAACTACAGTATGATTAATCAAAGACCATCGCTTTTCATGTACAGTAGAATCTCCTTACAGCAAAGCTGTTGAACCGGGGAAAAAACCGTTACAGCGATTAATTTCCGTACGAAGTGATTTGAATGACATTGTTTCAATTGAGCAGGGACCTGAAAAATGAATTCATTGCAACCAATAGTTCATTCTAACGAGATTCTGCTGTATTGAATTATCTGAAGCATACGTCCGTTGTGCGAGGCTTTTCTTTTCAAAAATACATGGTTACTGACCTCTGTTTTTCGAAATGTTCTGTTACAGAGCATTCCAGCCCACGTTGCGGGTATCACTGCGTGTGCCTTTGCCCACGACGGAAAATTTCTCGCGACTTACTCTCAATCCGAAGCGCGTTTGTCCTTTTGGCAAACCTCTTCCGGCATGTTTGGCCTGGGCAACACGCAAACCAAGTGCGTCAAGAGCTTCAGCACAGCACCAGTGCCCGAGATTGTGCGACTGAATCCATTGCGAACAGCGAGGCTGGTGTGGATCAACGCGAGAACAATTGCCCTCCTCATGCCTGATGGATCTGAATCGCGATTCAGCGTCTGAAAAAAAAGGAATCAATAATCAGACGAAAAAATTGAAGCCTTCTGAAAGATAAAATCAAGAGGATGTCAGTACGTCGAGGGCGAGGGGGGAAAACTGTTGCCAGAGCGAATTCCGCTCTCATCGTTGAAATATCGTGAGAATTCTTCGCAAGATATCAATGCTCTTTGTATTAAAAAGATTATCTTCTGCGGGGGAATCAAATAATGCTTCTTTTGGTCCACGAGGAGCTATATCGTGCAAAAGATGCGAGTATTTCTTTGATTGCCCGATTTTCATTGCATTGATTCATTATTCTGTGGACGCGAAAAGGACTTTAGTTTGTTGTCTGCTAATTTATTTTGGGTCGATGACGATCTTCCACCTGCAAAATTAGACTTCCATATTGTTCGGATTTCTTTTCTCATTCCCAATGATTCGGTGTACAATTCCAAGTTTAGAAGCGTTGAACCTCTCTTCATAGGTTTGTTCAATTTCTAGAAAAATCAGCGAAGGAATCAAATCATCAGGTGCACTTTTCCGAGTGGTGAGAAAAACTAGTACTGTTATGGGAACCCAAGAGTCACAGCTTTGTTGAAAAATATCCGTTCAACTGCATGTTGGAAAATGATTTTTGTTGAAGCGAAAAAAAGTGAGCATTAAATTTGTTTCGTTTCGATGACGTTTTAAAAATATTCTTTGAAAGGAACACGGCGTTATGAAATGAAGCCAAGGGCTCTTTGCATCGGTTTGGGTTCTTTCGAGGGAACTATTGTTCCTTGAGCATCCACATGGGCACTGCTTATTGGAGTTCTCTTTTTTTGGAGTACAATGGATGGAAAAGAATTTAGGGAATGTATCTCATAAAGCTAAGTTCCCAATTCATTACTGAATCGGTCCATTTAATCTATTGTTGTTGGGGAAAAAAAATCCGCTTGCTTTTACGGTGGAAAACTTCATACACGTTTCCGGATCCACGATATTGCAAAAAAAATATTCTTTTTATTCTAGAGTTTTACGTTGATTTTTGATCTCGGACTCATAGATGGTCGATTAGGATTTATTTTTGGGTTCCGCTTTTGCGTGGGCTTAGTTCTCTCGCGGTTTTTGTTTTGTGATTTTAGGATTTGTTTTGTATTCGCTTTTTTGTGGGAGGACGGGTTCAGCGTGAGTTCATTTTGTTGCTTGTCCTGCAACCATTGTGATCGTCGTCGTTAACCAATGAGGAGAGACTTTGGATCAACTTTTCTGTTTTAATTGCATTCCATTGGCTGCTTCTTTTGCGAACGAAGTGGATTGAAAACTCTTGAGCTTTATATTTTTCTTCTTCTGTTGAGAAGTAATTCTGTAGGATCAATACTTGACGGTTTTCATGAAAGAGTCTCGAGTATTGGGTGTCCAAAAGGTCTCTGTGCATTAAGAAATTCCGTATCGATATGGGGAATTCAATTAATTTGTCCTTAGCTGTGAGAAATTACTTGGTGTGGGGCAGATGTCACTCACAGTCACAACTAAATTTTAGTTCCTCGCGAAGTCATTGTCATCCAATTTGTTCAAAATGATTATTGCTGCTTCAGTAGAATTTTTACAAAATGCTGTGAGAATTAAATTTTCCTATGGGATAAATTATTGTGAATCGTCTTCGCTTTGAAATAAGATTTTTCGCCTAGATCTGATGGAGTATGAATTCGAATCGTAAAATGCAAGTTTTTTTCGCATCAATTTGTATGCTTGCCAAATATTTTAAACGCACAAAAAATGCAAATTTCTGCGCAGCAACTTTTTGAACACCGTATCTCAAATATTTAATTTGAAATTGTTTAACGTTTCTCAGTCGTGTTTCAAATTTTCCGTAAGTTTTCGTGTCCAGCGAGGAAGTTGGATTTGCAATTGCTTCCAGGCTCGAGAATCCTTGACCGGATCCTGCTTCGTCGCACAAGTAGTAACTAACAATTATCAAATTGGTGAAAGTTTCATGTTGAAGTCGCCATCAAAGTTTTTTGTTGTTGTTGAATGTATTCAAAAATATTTTATTTCGACAGAGATGTTAGTTACTATGGTTAAATCGGGGACAAAAGCGTTCACGAACGCGGACGTGACGAGTAGTTCTGGGCTTAGTGACGCGACTAGCGAGGCTGACGTTGACCTGACACGCTTGGCCAGGAAGCGGAAAGCCGGCAAAGAACCCGGGGGCGACGAGAACTTGGAACCCAACCAGGAGCCCGTCATTGATAAACAGGTTAGCATGCAGATCGACCGCATACCTTGGGTTCTGATCGTCTCAAGTTTCCATCAAACATTTCTTGTTGGAATGGCTGACGCACGCTCATCTCAAAAAGATTTTTCAAATCACTTCCTTAATTGTATTTCAAGTACCACTGTCCCGTGAATAAAGTCAGTAAAATGAAATATAAATATTAAAGAGTAGTTTTCACAGCGGAAAAACCATTGATGTTCGAAAGAAAAAGTGAGTCTTGTAAAGGTTGAGAAAAGAAAGAAGAGAATACGAACAGCAAATTTTCAAATCTCGAGATCCAATCAGGTCGAACTTTCTTCAAATGGCAACCTACAGTTATTTTGACAAATTATATTTTCAATTTTTCATATTTTATAGGCGGGATTTCTGTTACGTCCACCAGTCCCCCAGAAAAGAACAATAAAAAGAAGAAAATAACTCGGAGATGTCACTTGGCTAGAAATATAGGGATGTTCAAGAAATTAAATTTCTCGTTGGAAATTTTGAAAAATTCATGAAATTAATGCCTGCAGATACGAATTGACCCCCAACCTATTGAGAAACACAAAGTAATCGGCAGTTTTTCTTTTATTCTAGAATTACCAAATTTTTGTGAATTTTTTCGAAGACGAAATTTTCACAGAAATCGTATTTTGAAGCCTTTCAATTAGTAGTTTTGAAAGCAGGGAAAAATCAAAGCTACTAAAGTAATTTTTGAATTTTCCCCAGTTTCCGAAAAACCTGGGAGAAAATTGCGCCTCTGTGGTAAGTAAATCTCCTCCGCACAAGATTGAGTTAGTTTTGAAAAAATATATATTTCACTTCTTTCGTCCATGATTGTTTCTGTTGGTGTTCTGAACATGGATTTCACTGGACTTCACCTGTCGACAACCTGTTTTAATTTTCAAGTTACGCGTTGTGGAAAGAAAATAGGAAAAAACTATGGATAAATCTGTTTCAATCTGGTTTCCTTGAAAAGTGGAGTCTGGAACATTATTTTCATTGAAATGGATTTGCCTTTTTGTGTACTGTATACTTCTTACAGTAGTATACAATTTCAAGGATGTTGTCTAGAATCATAGGAATTTTTAAGAATTGAAAAAAAATTGGAATAAAAGTTTACAGTACAGTATTTACTTTGTCAATGTGTATCATGTGTCGAAGTGTTTTTTTTTTTTAAAGGTAATGATTTATTTAAATCATCATAAACTTTTTCATCATCAGGCGTCTGTTGTGAAGAGGACCAAGTTGGCGTTGAGCGGTATGTGGAGCGCCGCGGCTTCGGGAACCGTGGCTACGTTACGGGTAAAGAATGGCCAGAAATCCGACGCGGACTTCGCCGGACTGGACAATGTTGGGAACACTTGTTTCGTGAACTCGTGTTTGTATGCCTTGCGTTTTCTCCCCGGTTTCCCCGGTGCAATGCACGAATTTCAGGTGAATGAAAGAAAAAGTCCTCCACCGTTTTTGTTAAAAGACTTCATTATTTTCGCATTTTTTCATCAATATGAATTGCGTAATTTCAATCGTTATTTATGGCAGGTCTACGCAAAAACAATTTCGGCAGGAAAAATTGAAAAAAGTGTCAGAAAACTAACCAACATGAAAAATGTCCTTTAAATTTGTTCATGGGTTAAAGTTTACTTTGAAATTAATAAACATCAGAAAAGCAGGCGGGAGATGAAGTGCATGAATGTGTGAGCTTCGGAAGATCGAGAATAAAATCTAAAATCTCAAAATGTTTTAGTTTTATCAGTATTTTCTTTCTTGAATAAGAATCATTTTCTTGGAAAATAAAAAATTTATTGAGCATCAGGAGAGAAAGAATAAGAATACGGAAGAAGATGCAAAAAGAAACACTGTGACTGATGGATTTAGGTGCGTCAAAAGAAACGAATTCAAAAGTTTACGTTGAGTTATTGATAAATAATTTTGAATACGCTGGCTTTTTCTTGATATTTACGTTTTAATATTCGAAACGGTTCATTTTAGTGCATCAAATATTGTTCGTGTGAAGGTTCATTGTATTTATTTGTATTTTTATCGAACATTTTTGTTGCTCTCAATTACTGAATATCTAGGTGAGCTCTTATCCTATTCGCGAATTGTTCGTTGACTAAGTATAATTTTTATATTCTTGTTGCGTCTCTTTTTTTTCGACCCGCAGAAGAAAATCGTGCAGCTGGGGAAGAAGGTTGAACTGGAATCTCAAGAGCTGAAAAGCTGTGCAGAGCTTGTTTTGAGTCTGCACGAAGTTTTTCTTGAGCTTAGGAAACGGGAGACTGCGGGTAAAAAGAATCCGGAAGCCGTTCGCCCCCTGGCATTTGTCGACGCGTTCAGGTGAGAACTTCAATAATTTGTGTTTCATCTATTGGCTGTTCCGTGAGATTTTATTCTTGGAAGTAAAACTAATGGTTGAGAATTTTCCAAAAAAAAATTTTTTTTACGTACAGTACTGTAGTTCACTGCGCAATGAAAAGCACAAAAGGTTGACTGGAATCCGAGTGGAATTTTCTGTTTTTCTCTTTTCATAAAATCTTGCTAAAATTCTTCACGACGTAGTTAGTTCCGAGTCTGACGCATTTCTGCGTATTTCACATTTCAAGGTAAGTAAATCTCCTCCGCACATGGCTGGCGAAATGCGTGAACAATTTCAGAGTTCATTGAATTTTTGGACCCTCCTCTGATTTTTTGGGCCATCATCAGCGTTTTCACCTTCGAGAGAAACTTAGAAAATTCTGACCGTGCTCCCGTTTGTCTGTCTTCATGATGCTTTTTGAACGGGATATCCAAAAAATATGAGCGTATTTTATCACTCATACTGCAGGAAATATTCAGACATTTTCCGTTTTGTTTCGAATTCATTCTCAAAATTCAAAAACTTCTAAATGTAGTTTGTTTAATTTCATGTCTTTAGCATTAGTTTCGGTTTGCATTTTGAGAATAAATTTAAAGCAAAACGGGAAATTTCCGAAAACTGTGTCATTTGTTGAACCTTCATCACATTGGCATTTGTTTCGATTGCAGAAATTGTCAGCCTTCGTACCAAAAGGGCGATCAATTCGACGCGCACGAGTTTCTCTTGTTGATCCTCAACTCTCTCAGCGTGCTGGCGAAAGAAGTGCACAAGGTGGAGCGACGCTTGCGCGGCGAGGCGGAAGAGGCGGCGTTGGCGCGACGTAACAACGGCGGCAAGGATCGAGCTGGAGACGCCGGCGGACGGACGCGGGTCCGGCGGTCGAGCAGATGGAACAAGGGCCGATGCGGCAGTGGCGGCGGCCTGGACGTGGCCGTGGTAAACCCGTGGGTTTTGGCCAAGGCTGAGCTGAATAACGCTTTTGGATTCATGTCGCTCGGGGGCTGGAGAGGCGCTGGTAACAAGGCTGTGCGGGAGAACGTCGTTGATGGGAACGAGGTAAAGTAGTTCTGGTTCCCTGCATTTTATCGTATTTTTCTTTCGGGGATGTCAGACAGATGTCGCCTGAAACGCTAATCTGCTTAAAGAAGATAACCAACTAGAGTACGATGTATTCAGTTGTCAATGACACCTCATTTGTTGGTCCAACAATTATCATCTCAGTAATATTGGAAATTTTTATAAGTTGAGATAAGTTTCATGCAGGATTTACATTTTTAAAAAACAGGAAAGCAATAACGCAAAAAGCAAATGTGGGAGAGAACATCTGGGGTAACCCCTTCCACGACTTTCTTGGGTTTTTAAAAAAAGAAAAATGTGATTATTTTTTTTTTGAAGATGATTTCACTTTGAAGTTGAATTATTTCACTTCGTTTGCAGTTCAATGTAGATTTTCAATCCAGAAATATTTTCATTTTACAAGTTATTTGCGTTTTTTTCAATGCTCCGTTATTCATTATCTTCGGTAATTTAAAGTAAATAAGGGTGTGTTCTAGGTTCACCTGGAGAACTTGCTTTGACGGTGAGGATCTAGTCTAGACTCCAGAGAATCAAGCCTTTCAGGAGTTTTCAGTTACTTTAAGGATTTTATGTTACAACGATTTTCTCTTCACAGTATTGCGCAAAAATACTTTTAGTTCCCGAAAGATTTACTACCCACCTAATAAGGATATTGCTGGTCCCCTGAAATTTGTTGCACCAAGTCCACCTGTATTAGATTAAGTTAAACTGAACGAACTTCCCCTGTCCTACACCTGAAGACGCCCACAAAAAGATGCAAGCGACACCTATTGAATAGTGAGGGAAAAGGCTGCATCTGGGACATCCAGTGTTCAAATTAAACCACATTGGTTCAGTTGGTCTTTGAAATGCAGTTTCAATTGGAGCCTTGTTTTCTCGCGACAGAGGGTGAAAACTGAAGCAGTGGATGCCTGTGATTACCAGGAAACACACATGACGGGAACATGTGTGGTTGAAACCAAGTGTCTGGACTGTGAGGAGACTACGAACATCGTAGAGAGCTTTACACTGCTCAGCATCCCTGTCGATGGTATGTATTTCCCCTGACTCGTCTATTTTATTCTCATTCGAAAGGGTGATTGATGCTATTATTGACGTATTTGTATCCGGTCGCAGACGAAGGATTGACTTTAAGCGAAGAAGCCAGTGATGATCCGTCGTATACCCCGATTTTGAATCGTTTACGAGTCGAGGACTTGCTGGCGGACGAGAACAAGATTTTCTGCGATATTTGTTCCACGCGACAACCGGCTAAACGTTCCGTTGCATACTCCCGGTTGCCTGCCATTCTGGTCCTTCATTTGAAACGCTTCTCTACGTTCTACAAGTGAGCACAATTTAGGAGTACTTCACGTCCCTCTTCCATTACTTGACTGCATTCACGCAATGGTTTAAAAGCCTTCATGAGCGCGATATCAAGTCTTCTCCGGAGGAAAAATAAAATTTTCAAGAGCTTCTGTCAGTATGATTAATTTTGCCAGAACACGGGATTGGCTGCATACAATTTGAATAGCGTATCAGAGGTTATAGCATCCCTAAATATTTTATTGTGGTTCGCACAATAGCTGTCATTGAACGATTTATCCCAGGATTGAAATGGTCGGAGTACTATTTTTTTGGATTTCCCTTTTTGAAAATTGTCCTGTTCTGGATATTTTGGCTCACTTTTTTTTTCTTTGAAGTGCACGAACGTCGAAGATTGAAAGTGAAAAATCGATCGATTTTTTGCGGACGCCGTCGGTGATACCTTGCTTTTGTCAGGAATGTGAACGCGGTGCATCAGGAAGTACCAGGTGAGCTTTCTATCTCAGTACTGTACCGTACTTCAACAAATCGCTGCTGAATAGATAGATAGATGTACTCGTTTTGATTGATATTCCTTTAGTAAACACTTCAACATGCTTTCTGTAGACCAGGGCTTTTCAACCGGTGGTACGCGTACCCCAAGGGGTACGCGAGTGCTTGCCAGGGGGTACGCCAACCACCCTTGGGTCTAGAACAAAAAAAAATGCCTAGGTGTTCTGACCAGAAGGGTGGAGGTAAAAACTGCCTGAGTGCCTGCTTGCCATCCTAGTTCCCACTTTTTTTAATTTTTGCTGGCCCCCCCTTCCTTCCTGCCCCTTACCTTCCTTCCACAGAGCCCCAAGAGGGGCCTTCAGGAGGGTCCCATTGTCCAGACTTCAAACATTTTTAAAAAATTCAATGTTTACTCAATTTTCAAATTTCTGCAAGCATTGCAGGCGCACAGATCCTTTCTATTTTTTTTGTAATTTGGAAAAAACTTCAAAATTGAGTGAGATATCATGACAAATGCAAAATGTTTTTGAAAATTGAGCCAAAATTGAGAAAAATTGTTTTACATTTTAATTTTCAACCAATTCATTTTCCAAAATTTCTCTGATTTAAAAACTTCTGAATTTGTAAACCTTTATTGCGCATCAATCCCTCGAAAATTTTTGAAATAGCGCAAATTTTAAAGGTGAGCCTAAGAGAAATTTTTGAATTTGTTTGTCATGTTTCTCAAACTTCAAGAATTTGCGGAACATTCAATATTCAACCAAACTAAGTTTTAAAACTTTTATGCTTTTCAACCGGTGGTACGCGTACCCCAAGGGGTACGCGAGTGCTTGCCAGGGGGTACGCCAACCACCCTTGGGTCTAGAAAAAAAAAATGCCTAGGTGTTCTGACCAGAAGGGTGGAGGTAAAAACTGCCTGAGTGCCTGCTTGCCATCCTAGTTCCCACTTTTTTTTTTAATTTTTGCTGGCCCCCCTTCCTTCCTGCCCCTTACCTTCCTTCCACAGAGCCCCAAGAGGGGCCTTCAGGAGGGTCCCATTGTCCAGACTTCAAAAATTTTTCAAAAATTCAATATTTACTCAATTTTCAAATTTCTGCAAGCATTGCAGGCGCACAGATCCTTTCTATTTTTTTTTAAATTTGGAAAAAGCTTCAAAATTGAGTGAGATATCATGACAAATGCAAAACGTTTTTGAAAATTGAGCCAAAATTGAGAAAAATTGTTTTACATTTTAATTTTCAACCAATTCATTTTCCAAAATTTCTCTGATTTAAAAACTTCTGAATTTGTAAACCTTTATTGCGCATCAATCCCTCAGAAAATTTTGAAATAGCGCAAATTTTAAAGGTGAGCCTAAGAGAAATTTTTGAATTTGATTGTCATGTTTCTCAAACTTCAAGAATTTGCGGAACATTCAATATTCAACCAAACTAAGTTTTAAAACTTTTAATACAAATAACATGGTGTTGGCCACATATAATTTTTTTAAACTTCCAAAAAAGTTTCAAATTGATGGATTGACAATGAAAAATGCAAAACTTCTTTCAAAGTCAGGAGGAAATTTGGAAAAATCTTTTCATATTTTCATTTTTAACTGATTCAACTTCCAACATTCTCCCCCATTAAAAAATATAAATTTGTAAAACTTTAGTGCGCATCTAACCAGCTGCAATACATTTTTTAATTGATCAAATTTTAAAGAAATTAAAGTGAGCTACATTTAAATATTTCAATTTTTGCGTCCCAATTTTGACATTTTTAAAATTTATAAAAATGTTTTTATGTAAACAAACTTCAAAATGAAAATAAGGTAAGATGCATGTTAAAGTGTTCCATGTTTTCTTATTTTAAAATCTAAAAAATATCAAGAATTGACAGAGTTATGATGAAAAGCACAAAACTTTTTCAAAAATTGAGCCAAAATGTTTTACTTCATGGGGGGGGGGGGGCACTCAGGGAGTGGAAGGGAATGGAACACAATATACATTTTTCTAAATTTTGCAAACCTAGGGAAGTGGCAAGCAAATTTATTAAATTATGCAAGTGCAACGTCCAACCACACCTGGGCCATGTGCATAATTACTGATGGTCCTTGAAATGTAATCATTCAATGTCATTGAATAGTTTAAAATTCTTCAACTAATTTTCATTATGATTAAGTTTGGATTGTAACAAGTAATAAAATCCCCCTGCTCATGTGCCAGTTGTGGCCCAGTGGGCCACAACTCTGTTGCTCCCCCATTCAAAGATTAAATTTAAGCTTGAAAGCCAGGAGCCCAGCTTAGAGGTCAATATGTAAAAAGTCTTACTTAGCACTTTCCTGGCATTTCTTTATCTCCAGAAAAATTCCACTATTGCCCTTCCCACCTGGCAGAGGTTGCATAACCTCATGCAAAAATGTTATGCAGGCCCAAGAGGAAAAAGTCCAACTTTGCCCTGGGATGGAGAGGAGGAGGCTTTCACCAGTCTCACCACCAAAGGATTAAATGAGACATTTTGAGTATGAGTGCTGGTTCTTGATGGTCATAGTTCAAAAGTCAGGTAAAAAATTCCCAGCAGTTTTTTGAATGCATCTGGGAGGACATTTTTGCAGTTCTGCTGCATTTTTGTGTGCCAATAATACAGACAACATTGTGGTTTCAATTCTGCCATTAAGCCTAACCACTGCTGCAGGAAATTCTGTGGCTTGATTTTTCCCCCTGAATTTCAAGTTTTGTATGCTGAATGCACTCATTGCCACAACTGTGGTATGGAAATTTTACTGCATTGAAATAATGATTTCCTAATTTAGAAAAGAGGCCTCATTGTTTTCCTTAAAAACATATCTGCAAAAATCCAGAATAATAGTGATGCATCTATGTAAATGGGGATGCACCAGACTGATGATCAAAATTTGTGGACCATCTTTCTGGAAAACCAAAAGGTTGTCAGAAAATTCTGAATATTCCTAACATATGTGCTTTGGTAAAAATTGAAAATTGGTTCTTCAAGCTTGCCATGCAGCTTTCTGGGTAATTCAAAACACACAAATTTTTGCATATGAAAAGAAAGCAAATTATATTTTTATGATAATAGTTCAGGTTAGAAATTTCTAATTTTTAAATTACTAAAAATTCATGGCAATCTCTAGATTTATTCTGAAATCATGCCATTATTGTATCCCAACAAACCGATAGTTTTTTCATCAAAATAAATTGTGAGTAGTTGTTTTTCTGGATCCAGAATGTCTGAAATTTCTCCTCAAGAGTAACCACATTTATTCAAGTAGATGATTATTGATTTAATAATTAAGGGATTACATTTTATTTTGAATGGAATGAGAACCTTTAATTACCATTCTAAAGACATGGTTTATTATATGATATACACCTACATATTAACTCACTAGGGGTACGTGCCTGTTCCTGAGGGTGAAAAGGGGTACGCGCCTGAAAAAGGTTGAAAAGCCCTGCTCTACAGGCTGCACCTTCCATGTACACTGCTGTAACCCGAACGCATGAAATTGCATTGTACCGTAAGGCCTATACAGTATAATCAAGTAAAAAGGTTATACTGTATGAATTACAGTATATCGAAAATGGATGTTACGGCGCTTGAAATAATTTACTGTTTACATTACTAGCAGCTTCCCTGCAACATACTGCCGCTTCATAAGTTTACGTGACGCAATAAATTAAAATTTTAAAATAGGCTCGACGCTGTAATCAGTAAAAGCGGAGGAATGCGTTAGTTATTTGGATACACTATTTTTAGGTAAATAAGTAACCGTATTCAACAAAAGTTAAAACTTTAAGAATAAAATGCAAAAATACCAACATTGTGTCTCCGGATGTATCTTACCCAAAGAGAAAAGAACATCAAGCAAAAATCTCGGATTCGTCGATAAACCGGAGAACCGAGTTGCTCTTGCCAGGCAAACATCAGCTCATCTTCATGCCATTAACCATCACCGGAAATGACAAAAGTGCAAGACTAATGGATGTAACGATGTTTTAAAGCTCCGCTTGCTTTTAGAAGTTCACCAATGATGAAACTTATGCCCTCGGGGTGGACGCTTGGATGGATTATTTTGCCCCGAGCGTTGAATAAAACGCAGTTGGCAGTTGTTTACGAGCACCAGATGCATGTCGTCAGAAACTATTCTTTCCGATTTGTGTTTTCCAATAAATAATGGTATACAGTATATACACGCGGAACTGCTCGAATATTGACGTCACCTCACCTACTTTAAACGAGAAGATATGCCTCTGAGGTGGTTCATATACCGACGGCAGTTTCAAGCTGAGCCTCAGAGTTTTGCGACCATTGGTTCGAGAACATCGACTTTTATCTTCTGCCTTCGTTGTTCGGTGTGATCGACGCTGTCTGTGGGTGTCGCGATGAGCACCAAGTAAATCTTCCACACAGAGGGAGGGAGTCAACTGTTCGTGTATACTGTGCACTTGTATAGGCAGGGCAACGGCCCTGTGGCGGAATAAGGGCGAATCACATCCTCCAAATGCACGCAGCGGTGGAGTGAAGCAAAGTGTGTCAAAGTGTGTTTTAGCGCGACGTTCGGGCGAGAAGTGCGAACTATTTCACGGTTGAAAGCCTTCGAGATGCTCAGGAAGCACATTTCGGAAGTACTTTAATGTCTTACGGTGAATCATCGTCGTGTCGTCTGGCTGGATAAGAGGAAGAATTGCCGGTTGAGAAAATAAGTGAAGCCTTATTATTCTCCTTTTATCAAAATTCTCGGAGCTTTATTTTCAAAATCAGGTGAGTTTGCTTTGTTTTTGTTTGCCCTTGCTCACTTCACAGTTCGGTGGGAATCTTCGAAAGATTGACATGCCGCGTATTTACGAGAAAGCCCCCCCCCCCCCGGCCCCCTCCAGACGTTTCATGCACAAAATTAAAATTCCATCAATCGGTGAATATACGCACCCAGGAATTACTTCCCTGGTTCTACGAAAATTAGGCTTTCCCGAAAAAATGAAAAATGTGTCACATAACCCTTGCTCTCGATCCACATTCTGCCAACGATATGCATTTATCTTGAAGTGCAACAATAAGCTGACCATTTCTTGATCATTCTTAACTTTAATTCCAAAAGAAATGCTCCATTGTTCTGTGAAGCGCGAGCGTGGGAAGATTTCCTGAAATATTTATGAAAATACAGTACAGTACGAGCAAACCCATATATTTTTTTAGCTTCTATAAAATTGAAAAAAAGTGTGCTTATATTCGCTTGGCGAATACGGAATCTTAAAATCTAGATCGGTTCTATAAGCCCATCTCAATTCCATCACGCAGCAGCACAGTTGAGCTTATTCTTATTGAGGTATTCCTCACCTCAGGCGATGCGCTGATGTGATGAAGAGAAGGATTCTAACATTCTTGTTCATGAGTTTACGGGAACATTGATATTTTCTGGAGGGGATAGAAAGAAAACGGGTGAGATCAGGCATCACATGTTGCCTGTATCCTCACGGCACAAGAACCAGCAAGTGCCACGAATGAGGCGAAGTTGACGGAGTTTGGCATCGCGCCCAGTTGCTCTGCCGTGTCCAGAGACCCTTCTTTTTTTGCGGCAGAAAATAACTGGAGAACTCAACTTCTCCGGTAGTATAATGCACTTCGGCTTCTCGCCTGGCGCGCTGAGCTTGTCTAGGCATAGTGCTCCATTTCCCGGCTATACATTCGTGGTCGCAGCTTACCCTTTTTATTTACTCCGTGATATCATTTTCTAACATTTTTATAGCTGTGAAGTAAAAATCAGTGGGCCAAAAATCCTGTTGACTGTGACGATAGGTTTTTGCAGATCAAGCCAGCGCTGGAAGACGTTGACTGTGATTTTGCACATTGGATTGCTTTCCGAAGTGCTGACCATCGCATGTTGCGCTTATAACTTTATTCGACAAATGATTTCCCGCTGAATCACATCAGCAAGAGATTTATGCCAGAATAACGCGTAGAACACTGTAGGTGAGTATGCAGTACTGCATTCTAAATATGTCAAAGATATTCGCGGCTGCTCAATGCTATTGTTCTGAATTAACCACCGTAACCAAAGGTTTTATATGTGTAATCTCAGCGAGCGCGTGTAGTGTATGACAATGATAAGCGGTTTATTTCAAATTTGGTTGTCCCTTCTCTCTGTCGATTGAAGAGAAAATTTGATACGTATTCAAGAATATTTACTGCCGTGAAATTTTGAATCTGCTGGCGCTCAATGGGAAGCAATGAACTCATCCTGTAGAGAGTCTTTGGAACTCACGGATCCCCTGTGGAAGTCCTCGAGCCGTCGTCCGGTTTTTCATTCGGTAGGAACCCCGCTTGAGAATTTCCTGAAAATAGTTTCGTTCAGGCCGAAAATGTCTCCGGAAGCCGGCATTCTGCGGATTGAAGAGAGTCACGGTCGACAGAGACGCGAAAGATTGCCAAGCCCAGCGAAAACGCTGCGGCATGGAAACGTTTTCTTATTATACAGTACCGCTATCTCTCTCCTCTTCGGCCTCTGCTGGTCTCGTCGGCGAACTCTCTTTTCTCGTAACATTTCCACCTGGGTCAAAAGCTCCGCCGGTCAAATACAGCACAGCGTCTGTATGCTCCATGCAGGAGTCGTGCGTTTTCGACTGGAATAAGATTGGGATCGAAAACGCAACATGGTATCAACCCTCTGAAATTTACTTCTCACAAAGCATATGTGGAGAAGTTTTCTTTAAAATAGTTTGTAACCACTAAAGAAAAAGAGCTCAAAGTTGTCTACAGAGGATCTGCTGAATCGGTTAAAAACTGAAACTCGTCTGATAGATATATTTTTCTATAAATCAAAATCATTATTCACGGAGCGGAATAAACAGAGATCCATAAGAACTTATATTAGACAGGTTACAAAGGGGTATTTATGTCAAGATAATATTGTACTGTACTGTACTTGTATAGGAATTAGGATCAGAGATGGAAGCCATTTGATGCAATCAGCAGACCAAGAAAATTCAATGAACCAGCGCATGACACTGAAATCCTTACTCTACTACTGACCTTGTAAATTGTGATGTGCGTTTGACCCAAAACTAATCCATTCCTTTTTCGAGATGAATTTCCTCAAAATCCTCACCCAGAAATGCTGTAATGAAAATCATGATTTTACTTTAGGTCTCAATTAATTTTGAATTTTCAATTTTTTACAATCAATTTTGAAACCCCTAAAGCTTCCTGCGGCACTTGGCAAAACTTTTCTATAGTTCAGCAAGTTTTAAATGGTATTATATAAAATCTTTGCCAAGGGCATTCAGAAACAAATCCAAGGCAGTAAAGAGTTCCTGACATCCATCAAACAAGCAAGCAGAATTTTGGGAAGTACAGTAGTTTATAGGAAAAAGTGTAATTTTCGGTTCTTCATTTGCACATGAAGGAGTGTTTCAGTAAATTTTGACATGAATTTTCGCAAAACAAATGTGAGCCAATTTGAAGATAAAAATGCTGGCCTCCTGGCAAAGGGAATCGTTTGAAATGTTGAAAAAAGTCTTGAAAATCTCAGGCTACACTGTGATTCACGCAACTAGAACCCATGGAAAAATCCTGGCATTACCCAGTCAAAAAAACTTTCAAGACAACCATTTTCGTCTCTCACGGAAAACTGTGCCATTAACAGACATCCATGTGTTCTTGGCATTTGTAAGAGGACGGAAAATTTTCCACCGTTTCACGTGTTCTAGATCTATTATTGACTGCGCGTTGAAACTTTAACCTTTATATTTATTTCTCAATGCGTCGAAAATTTGCAGTTGCCTGGATATGTTTTGTTCTTTCAATACCGTATGTTCTGATTTTATTTTCAAGAGGAGGTTGAACACAGAGCGAGAGATTCTGGTATTGAATATTGTTTACAATAAATTGTTAGAACATCGGAAAATTACTATATATGCTCTGAATCGTTGAAAAAGGGAAAAACCTGTCACAAAGGACGGTGCGTGACGTTATGTCGTAAAAAATACAATTCTCTACGATGAAGAATAAGTTTTTTCCTGGACGGGATTTTTACTTTTTTGAAAGTCTTGAGCCTGTCCTCGACAAAATTCAAAATTGTATTTTAAAAATTGCTGAAATCAAACATGGAGCTAAAAAGACCATACCCCTCATTTTCCTCAAAACATGTTGGCATTTACATGGCCTTCAATTCAAATAGGACTGGTGGTGGCTTTCGTTCTTCGGAATGGAACACAATACCACCATGTTTTCCCAGCTGTCGCATTTGACTTTTACTATTCTTGGTTACATGTGGTAGTTGCCGACTCTGTCTGCAGTTTCGAAACGTTCACAATACAATACTGAGAATGGAAAGAGAAGGCCATGCAGAGATAGAGTTTTTATCAACGCGGACAAATTCAATCATCAAACACACATAATTTCACTAAAAGTGGTACGTTTAATCATCCAGAATGAAAAATTACGATCAGCACGTCAATTGTTCAAACTCTTCCAGTTTCGCGCTCAACAAAAAGTTCAACCTGCGATCCTTCAAGACGAGAAACATTGCTGGTCCGCCCAGTGATTTTTCTCCCGCACTAATATCCAGCCACATATTTTTACGAAAAAACTAATAGAAGTTTTCGTAAAAATGAACAGCGACATATTTCCTCAGAGAACGTTCAAAACTCGGAATAAAAGAGAATTTCAAAACATTCCATTAAAAATCCATCGAAAAAGAAATGACATATTGTGCATTAGCTCATCGAATTAAGCTACACTTTTTGTGCAACGTAGTTCATATGCCGAATTTCCATCAACATTTAAGAGGAAGCACAACAAAACGTCAAAAATACTCGTAAATTGCAATGAAAATGACTGAACTAAATAAGACATTCTTCCTCTAGCTGTAGCGTGACGAGGAAACTGGAGGGTTCTTCGCAGTGAATATACCATTGAACACTGAATGTCAAACGTCGAGCTCATCAAATATTGCAGATTCGGTTCCCATCTTCATATCTCAGCTTGGTTTTAATGATTCTTCGAACAATCTCAGATCCGATTGGTGTGGTAAAATTAAACTTCCTTCCTTTAAAATTTCACATTGCTTCAGGCCGTCGCCTTCAAGTAACAACATTCACAGAACCGGAAAAAAATTAAATTCTTCACAGAGACGGTCCCTTTTGAAGTGGATGACAATGGCCCAGCAGGATAGTAACAGCTTTCGTACAAGCGATTTCAGGCCCACACCTAACGAAAAAAATACGATTATTTTATCGGTAATTCGCATCGAACGAAGAATGCTAACAAATATTACTTTGAGCGTGTAGTCCCAGGATCCCGTGCAAACACCAGTTCCATCTGGTGAGGTTTTCAAACAAGAAACTCGGTTCTCGTGCCCGTACAGGGTAGCCAATCTTTGAACTTTCAATGTATCCCAGATTCCGACAGAGTAGTCATTGTACCCAGCAAAAATTAGCCTTCCTGCAGAATCGAGTAACGAACTATGACACAAGATGCTGTGATACAAAAATTATTTTCATTTGCATGAAATTTAGATTTCGAGCAGCAAAATATAAATACAATTGTTGAACCTCGATAACTCGAACCTCCCTATGTGTCCAATACCTGTACCTCCCTTTTTCCTATTTTTTTTCAAGGCCCTATATCTGAATTCCCTTAGAAACAATTCATCACAGAAACCTCTCTAACTGGAAGGATTTCCTCCTAAAACCTGGCTAGCTCAAATTTTCTGGAGGCCTTTTGGCTATTATCTCATTGACACAGACGAGAGAAAGGCAATAAAAATGCAACCTTGCTGTGTTTTGAAAAGAAAGGAAAGACGAATTGGGAGAATAAATCCTTGCATCCAAGTTCAGCATTCTTTCAACTCAATCTTTAGAAGCACTTTGAGGCACAGAATACATGTATCACCGATTACAGCAATTTCCTCTACAGTGATTATTTTTCTTCCCCCTCCCCCCAAATGTTTGTTTTCCTAAAACTCAAAACTTCCTGTTTGTTCCTCAAAACTTCCTGTTTGTTCCTCAAAACTTCCTGTCTAACAAAAATTTGTTTCCTGGTTCCTTGAAGTTCGACTTAAAGAGGTACAAATAATAGAATATTCCAGAACGCACCGCTGACGGAAAAATCAACTGCATTCACGCCGAAGATGATGCTTTCTTTCGTGTAACAGGCCACTTCTCGGTCAGCTCTCAAGTCAAACAAGCGGATCTGTTGATTGGAGATTGGAGATTTATTTATCAACGAAAACACTGACTACTGGCGGAATATTCGTACAACTTACCGCTGCATCGTCCCCACCCGTAATTATTGCATCGCCACTTGGATAATATTTGACTGAATTGATGTCTGCCTCGTGGCCCTCAAAACTGTGCACTCGGTGACCGGTGCGCATATCCCAAATCAATGCTGTCTTATCACAGCTCTGTGAGTAGCCGGATTTCATTCCAATCAAAGTTTTAAAGAAGTAGAATCACCACATCGACAATTTTATAATTACCGCGGAAGCAAATGTGTTCCCCGTTTCAAACGGAGCCAGGTCGATGGCCATAACGTCACCGCTGTGCCCATGAAAGCCTTGAAGCAGTTGACCGGACTCAACATCCCACAAAGCACACGTGGAATCCCCGCTCCCCGTTAGGATCTAAAATTGACGAAGAAACCCACTTTCGGCTTTGGATTTTTAACGAACCAAGGTGAATGATATCCCATACTTAGAACTACTTGTATGTCTGCCTCCAGCATTGATATAACTGTGCCCCCATTCCAATTTACTGAGAGAGACAAAGCTGTTCGGGCTTATTTCCGATGTGCCCCTCAATTACGTACCTTCTGCTCCAGCTGATTATCTTCTTGCTACGCGGGAATTTTCGTATACAGTACTGCTGGTCTCGTGGCAGGTCATCCTCGCATTATTTTTTAAAGAGGTGTTTCTGTCAATATCGTATTTAATTGCCCATAATCACCAGTCACCAGTCATCGACTGGCTCATCACCAGTCGATAGTCTTTCAGATAGTCAAATTTCATGTACTGTACAATTTTACAGTATCCGCGACTTCTATTAGCACAACAGTTCTAAGGAAAAAGGAATTCGTATCCTTCAGTCTCTCTTATTTTTCCCTCAACTTATTAGCTCTTCTACACGTTCAAGAAGGAATCATCCGGAGACCCGCAATACAAGCAACGCTTAGCCGTGCATGCTAGACACCTGCCTTTATAAAATTAACGCATGGTTGGAAATTAGGAAAATTTCATCTTTCAAAAACAAAAAATGGCATAGCGCTGTTTATTTGAAGAACAGAGAAATACCTGTTGGTCCGAATTTGGGAACAAACAACAGGACATGTAAGAAGAATGTACGCCAACAGTTTTCTTTTTCGATGAGGCGTCTTCTTCCAAACTGAGTGGATAAAGCGTGACCTTGTTGTCCAGACCACTGAAACGCAGAGTAATGTTTCAGTTGCTGTGTTTCAAGTGGGATAATTAGTATAGAAACAAACATACCCACAAGCCACTTGATTGCCAGAAGGAGAGTAAGCGCATGCCATCACCCACGTCGTTGGCATCGTTATCGCATGCTCTTTGTTAGTCGTAAATGCATCCCAGATTATCATTTTTCCATCCTGTGTGAGTCATATTACTATGTTATTTCATTGCCCGAAACAATTCTCGATCGCGCGCTACGCACCTGGGAGGATGACACAATATGCCTCTTGTCGGCAGACCAATCCAAACATAAAACCTTCCCGTTGTGTCCCTTCAAAATCCGTCTAGCCTTTACATTCAACGGCTGTAAATTTTCCAGCTTTGAAGCCACACTGGGCACTGATGATGAGTAAGCATAACATCGGTGAGGAGAATGCATGCAACCGAAAGTTGTACAAAATTCAGAAAAAGGCTCAAGTTACTGGAGGTATCACAAATGTTGGATCAGTTATTAGAAACACTAATTATAATTATATTGAATAATGCAGGACAGATTAGATGAACGAATAACTTCCGAATTCCTTTCGAACAGAATTACGTACGTTATAAAAATTCTCTCAATAATGGAGGTACAGTACGTAAGTGGGGTTTCGCCTTGCAAACCTCGATTTTTTAAAACGAAAACACGACGTACTGCAGTAAATCTTTAAAATTAATCTTGTATTCTTGCATTCTTCATGTCGCCGAAAAATTACCATGCTTCGTTCTGGAAGAGTTGAAATACTTCGCATTCGCTATGCAGGCCAAAATGATAGTACTTGCTGCACATAAATACTTACCGTATTTACTCCAGTGCTTTCATGCGCACTTTTTTTCATAATTAGCAGGGGAAGAAGAGAGTGCGTCTTATAGGTGGGTAAAAAAAAAGTTTCAGAGCATTTGTGCTTCAGACCTGATTCGAACAGGAAATTTTGAAACAATTTCAAAATATTGAAAAAATTAAAATTAACATTCAGTTTGACAACAAAGCCAGTCAAAATTTAATTTCTGAATTCTGATGCATTTCATCTCCAGAATTTTGCAATTCCCCATCTCTAAAAATTGGGGCGCGTCTTTACTCGAGGATATACTGTATTCTTATCCGAATTTTAGGCTGAAACATTCGGGTGCTCGTATACGTCTTACATACTTGAGGGCGCGTGATATATAGTACTGTACTGAGGTAAATATGGTACAGTATTATGCAGGCTGGGCTACGCTCAATGACAGCATTCTCTCTGGTGACATCCCGCAATTCATTTCCCGCGATAACCGGTAGCAACAGACTTATTCAGAAAGTGTTCCGTTTAATATTCTTGGCCAACTTTGCATTACACTTTTCATAGAGTACTGTACATGCTATTCTTCCGAACATTTTTTATCTCGTAAATGCATTACACTACTGATGGCTTTCATGTTCGAAAACATTTCTGAGGAAGGATGAACTCACACGTGACATCCGTAATTTTGTGCCGTTCCTCCTCCACTCGCACTTTCAGAGCCTGGACTTCTTTGACTAGAGACTCCAAGTCGACGGGTGACGAGTCTTGAACTTCAGAGAGAACACTGATGGCAGCCATCATGCAGTACTGTGTACCGTAACTAACGCGACTCGTTCATGTATCGGGCCTTTGCAATAAGCTACCACTCACATAAGATGTCAATCACACCAATCACTTCTGATGGTTATTTTCTCAACAAAAAATGCCACTGCCTATCGATCATGGAAAGCAGCGCACGTCTCTCCTTCATACGACGGAAGCGTCTTTGGTTTCTGTGTACTGTGTTACCTCTATTCGTCTCACAGCTTTAAAATGTTAGTTAAAACGGGACTATATTGTAGTTGTGCGCCGATGTGATGAGCTACAGTTTACATTAAAAAAATGTTCTCGCTTCTTTTGATGAGGTCCTGATGCTCCGGTAAAATTCTATGAAAACGCAGGGTGCTATTGAGACTTTTGCTTACCGAAAAAGGTATTTTTGGGATTAGGTTGGGAACATATTACAATCACGAAGTCGGATGCCGTGGATATACCTGCTGTACATCACCGAACTAGTGTATACTCAAGTATGTCATCGCATGATCCCTCTCGCCAGTGCGCCGTACGTATACATCGAACTTTTTTTTAAATCTGGCTATATACATACGGTACATGCTTGTGTTCTTCCGAAGCGCTCGCGTGTGGGGCGGATATCTTATACACTATTAGTTAATGGGAAATACTCGGTACAGTAGTCCAAATGTCCAGTGAGTGAATCTTATATTTTTGATAACAATCCGGATCTGAGTGCCAATCAAAATGCACGGCGTTCATCGGTTTCCGTATACAGTATACGTGATCTACGCGCGTGAAACCAAAAACAGGGATCCATTGATAATTCTGGCGTTGAGTGTTTCATTTATTGCTACCACGTATATACGTAGCTCCGTTATTTTCTTTCTACCGTGAGAAACGTCTTCATTCTTGAGATAGCATAGAGTTCAAAACAAGGCCGCTCCGTATCTCCGATGGAATTTGACTCACGTAATCCTACGCATTCCGATGGCACTTGAATGAGCCCAACACCGGCATAAAAAGTACTTCGGATTACTTCCATGAAATTGAGGGAAGGCATTTATTTTCATCCGCGATGATCGAGAACAGGAGTATATATCGCAACAGCACATCACTTTCCATCGGCAAATTCGAAACTGATGAAAACCTGGACCCGACCACTCGATCTACATTTCCTGTTAACACATATTATGAGCAAACAAGACAACATATACTGGATTAATCCGCCACACAGCAGCAGGCAAACGAACACCATGCAGAACAGGAGATTTCCCATCAGCTTGCAGCGTTCAAGACGTCAGACGCATGACGGTCGCCATATAACCATCACATGCCCCGTCGAGGGTGCTCTGGGGATCCCTATCGTCCTCGTCACCCCGCCCCGGCGCTCGCTGCTGGTGTAACTGTCGAGGCCAAACTATACGGGAGTTGTGTCCATGCTATCCCTATTGAATTTCGTGCCTCCAGTATATTTTCAATGCAAAGCATCCAGATAATATAAATTTCAATAAATTATCGGGGAACTGAAATTCGACTGTCGCCTGCAAGCTTTAAAAATTATCCCAGGGCGCTGAAGAGGAAAAGAGTTGGCAGCATCAGTTCAAATAAATCAGAAGGTGAAAATGTTATATATAAGAAACAATAAGCATACATGCTCCGGATAATGCATCATTAGGTGAAAATCCTTAATCCTCGATTCAGCTTCAGTTTACCACCTACTTCTCCGACTTTGAGTCTCTTAATTGTTTACTATATCGCACGATGTTTTCGCGCTATTTATTATATGCTGTACAATAGCTAGTACAGTATTCCTACATTTTGATGAAGTTTTGTATGCTGCTTCGGGATTAATGTACGTATGTACTGTACGTATACGCGGAAGGTTCGAACCTTCCCTATATATATATACAGTTGTAATTATATACGCGATTGCTGTACATTCCATCCGATGGAATGTATAGGCAGTCGTACATAATTTTTTCATGGAACGCTTATATATAAAATATTTCTTGTAATAAGAATGAGGCTCATTTGGAAATTATTCCGATGAGAAAATAACCCCAATAATTTGATACCCTGGCGTGGAATATACAGTGTGTTTATGGCACTTGCATTAATACTGAGGAAATACTGTTCATTCCATGAGTGACTACATGTATGTAATGTATACCAATATGCAAATATATATTATATACTGTATGTGCTCTTTATTCGGAAAAAAATTATAACCCCGTCTTATGCATTACCAATTAGAAGATCCTGGCGTATATATATATATATATATATATATATATATATATACATTATGCATAATATCTTATTGTCAGGAAATTTACGATATACAGTATATAATATTTATTGATTTGTATTCATGAGGAAAATACGTTTAAGAGATATTTAGCCCCCTCTTATTACACATTTTAATCTTGTTTTACAACAGATAGCATAAAAAAATTATATTTTTTTGTAAATTTCATTTTGTGAGGTCCCAGCAGCAGTTTGTAAATATATATTGCCTCAATGATATGTATACATGAAAGGGAATTTAGAATCACCTATCCACCAATACATATAACCAGCAAACTTGTACATGGATGCCAATCAGATTTCTGCATGGCCGTTTATCTTTCTGAAAAATCAACAAACGAATCAATATATCTCTCCATGGTGATCGATGATCTAGGATTCTAGGTTTTCAATATTTATTGTACATCATTTCAGTACGTCCTGCCGAAGAATTTTTGTAACTGCTGCATATGTATATTAACAACTCTTTTTTGCGGTAATATACTTACTCATGAAATAAAGGCAATGTATTTATTCGTGATATACAGCCCAATTTTATTTATATACGACCAGCGCATGTATCATGTATGTCGCAAAAATTACACAAGCATTTGTTGCGCAATCAATTTATATAAATTTGAACTGGAATGCGTATACAGTTCTTTCAAACGGAGAATAATATACTGCACTGTATAATAAACCGCCTGAATATATAGTAACTTAAAGATTTACATCTGCAAGAATTTTTTGAAGTTACATCAGGAGAGAGAATAAGCGTACATCCAAATAAAATTATGTACCGTATACAGTACATCAGCACGGATTTCCGATTTCTATACAATACCGGCTCATACTCAACTGTATTTTTTCCTGGTATTCGCGTCTTGCGGTATATACAGTACACTGTATTTTGTATATTAGTATCGATTTGATAAAATGGAAAAAATATTCTGGCTGAATCAATAAGATCTAACGTTTTCGTTTCAAGTCCTCTTATTTATTTTAAGTCGAATTTCTTACGAGAGAAGAGGGCCGATCTAATTGTCACGAGAGGCAATATGTTCTACTGGTGATCCATAACATGACATGGGAATTATTATTATTCTCCCAGAAAGAATACGCGGGATTCACGCGGCAAGAGCGCCCTTCCTACACCAACACCGGAGACCCGACAGCGGTATGCGCATTCGATGTGCGAGGGAAGAAAAGGTGATGGCCGCCTCCTATCGTCGTTCCCAATGAACTACCCAGCTAAGATTTTTTCATGAAACGCTGAGTTCGTTGAAAATCGCGAAAGCTTACTGAGTTCTTCGGTTGCTAGTCGCTACTGCCAGTATTCTTTCTGTGAATTTCAGCGCTAAGGGGAATGGCGTAACAGCTTTCGGTACAGTCTCGCCGAATCCGATAGTTGAGGTTTTCTCGTTGATCTCCAATACTGAATTGATCGGTCGCGCATTACTTCTTTTCGACGTTGAAAACTACCCAAGTCTCACTCGTGCTTCCTTGCCGCATGTGGAAGGCCGTGATTTTTAAAGTGCATCCGTGTTCCATTTAAGCTTGTGAAACGCTCCGTTTCTCGTAGGAACTCGATTTTCCGTTTTTATCGGGTCGAAATTTTTAAGATGTGGGACTGCGTTGAGCCACGGGATGGAGTAGTGTTCCGCTCTCGCGCATAAGAGACAGTGTGAGTCTTCGCTTCGCTGTTCGAATCATAGCTATCCGCGTTCAGCTGCTCGTCTTCGTGAAGAATCAATGCTGAGACGTTGACATTTACTGTCAGCTGTTCTGCTCACTATTCCGGGCTAGTCGTTGGCGTTCTTGGATTAATCCCCACTACTGTGTCAGCCTCGAGTAAGTAGGCAAGATTCCCTTGGCATCCTTGGTTCTTTAAAGTTAGGCGTCGCGGTATTTCCTTCCCTTGATGCAGGAAATTTGTCTTTCTGTCTTGATGCATGTTTCGGCTTTTCTTTTACCTGTCAGTGACGATTGCTTAATTTTTGCTTACAGGGCTTCGCCGTGAATCTGCCGATCGACGACTGTGATCAATCAGGAACGTTACGAGATGTCCGATTCATTTCAAACCAGCTTATACGTCATTGCTGTGACCGTTTTTGTATTATGTTCGAAACCAGGTATGTGAGTTGAATTATGCTTTTCTCATTCTGAAGCATTGCCTAAATGACCTCCGCTTCATTGTGCTGTCTCCGCATGTACTGAAACCACATTCAGATCATTTCGATATCCTTTCGGTTAGACAGCCTTGTTCCCAGTCGTGTTGAGTCTTTTTGTTTTCTGATTTTCTCCTCTCGCTTGAAATTGATCCCACGTCGAACAAATCCACCCGTTGCACCATGAATGTGGGTATACCATCAGTGTCAAATCAAGTGATCTACTCGGGGCCGATGCATTCAGACGAAGGAGAATCGTTCACCATAACCTGCGTCACCCCCATATTTGAGTCGATTAAGTGGTCCTTGAACGATGGTGACTCAATTTCCGACGATCCCAATGTCGAAATCAAAAATGTTGAGGAAAAGCTTCGTATCACTTCTACCCTCCGTGTTTTGTCAGCGATGGCAAACTACACTGGCAATTACAAGTGTGTCAGTGTAGCAGGAGACTCTCGATCTCACAATCACTTTGTCATTAGTGGTGAGAATGGTCGCAATTCAAATATTCCCCCGTCGTTTGACTCTTCCTTGTTTTCTAACACATTTTTGATTGCTGTGCCCCAGATGAAACAGTTGCTTTCATAACCGTGAACATTCATCTTCGGATATTAGTTGCATCACCGCTGTGTACATTATTTTTTCTCATATCATGATGAAGCTACTTAATGAACAACATGACACTTCGATATTCCCCCCCCCCCCCCCCCCCCCGGGCAAATTCAGGCAAGGGTTTGTGTGCTTAACNTTATTCCCCCCCCCCCCCCCCCCCCGGGCAAATTCAGGCAAGGGTTTGTGTGCTTAACTGTGCGCTGCGCGGCAAAAGTTGGGAGGGGGGGGGGCAGTATTGAAGCCTGCCGATAAAAAGAGTTTAAATTTTAACGATTTTATCATCTTTGGGTCCATTTGTGATTGCTTGACGCGTGTGAGTATTTCAAGTTTCCGTGTTGAATAGTGGGATCAGTTTCTATCGAATCATCGCGAAATTATTGTCTCTCACTCACTAAAAGTACTTTATCAGGGTTTTTTAATTTCTTGGCTATACTGTTCGCTACTGCAGTTGATACTGTACTGGAGTAAGAACTGTGAACGCTTCTTGTTTCAATTGGATTGAGTTTTTCTGGCATGTAATCGATTTTTGAATCATGAAAGGTGCGTTTTGTTGTTGATATAAATCTCGTGTCGTAATCCGTACTTCGAATGAAATAAGGGCGTGATGTATCATCATGTCTCGTGGTAACCGCAGTTTTAGTGGGCTTGTTCAGTCTACGGCGCGTAATGTTCGCCCGAATACTGTACAGTATTATCTTCTCTGAAACTTTGATTCGACCATTGTTTTCATGCTTTCAGAATCTTGGATTAGTTCGATGCATGATAAAAAAATCGAGTAGCACAGGAATCTTATTCATCTTCACTGTTCTAGATATTCCGACGTTTGATTTATTCCGAAATGATTTTGCGCTAAAATGGCACGTCTTGATATAGTCGTCCAGCTCTGAAGCATGGAATACTGGGAGGAAAATAAGGTGGATGCTTTTACAGTTATTTCTCGTTTCATTTTAGCCTCGCTCATGGAAATATCTCAAAACCAAACTCTGGAGTTAGGTAAACGAATGGAAATCAACTGCACAGTTCGAGAGCAGAAAATAGAATGGTGAGTTGTTTTCGTACGTCTCAGCAATGGAATGCATATCGAAGCCTCCAATCTTCCGCATAGGCGGAAAGATGACGAAAAATTCAACCCGGACGACGATCGAGTTACTGTGCAGGGTTCCATGGTAATCATATCCCAGGCAAAACCAGAAGATCTTGGAAAGTACACCTGTAGCATCGCATCCAATGAAGATACCAAAACTGTACGGTCCACGTGGATTTATCGTAAGTCGTTTTAAGCCTTTTAATGCAGTTCTCCGATGTCGCACATGATCTCCGGCAGCTCGGTTACGTTCGCGTGTGCCCGCTCGTCGATTTTGTAAAATTCAGATGCTCTCTCAGCTGGATATTTGATACTGTACTACATTTTTTGTGTGTGAAGGAAATACGTTCGTCGAAGCGCAAGATTACTGCTTGTTTGATTATTAGCTGATGATTTTGGATGAAATTACGAATAACTAATCGTGCAGAATATGTACGCTGAACGGCAAAGCAGTGAAATTCATGACATAGCTCCACTTCCGGATGAAATTCTTAGAAAGACTAAATGTGCTCATCAAAGTTGAATTTCTGTGATATATTCTTATCCTGGAAACAACTTGCATTTTCAAGAAATTCGATGTTTCCCATGGTACTGTATATTTACGTCAAGATCATCGAACCAGATGTTTCCAACTCCAGTTATCCATTAATCGCTGGAAATTGCCCTTCACCTAGACTAAGAAAGTCTTCAGTTGGGTTTCATGCTACAAAACTTCGTACGAACCCGATTTAATCTATCCGCATCCAATTTACACTACAGTAGTGTGTTCACTGCTGTAGGATAATAACGCGATGGAAAAATCGATTGTTTTAAATTTAAGCATGCATAAGATTGAGCTAAGTTTCGGATTGGTATCCTCTTAATTTACTAATTATCTGTGCCAATTTATTTTATTTTTAATAATGATTGTACGCTAATACATTATTATGTTGGGTCATGACGAATTCACCTAACGGTTACATCGGTGATTTAGGTTCTGCTGTAAGAGCTTCTTAGATTGAATGAGAACTAACTCTTCATGTTCGTGACTTCACTGAATACCCTGATCGTGTGTTCTTCAGCTTGATGAAATGTATTGAGTTGTATCTCCGATGCTTGGCCCGTCGGCCATCACTTTTGTTTTTCGTCGGCTGTACACTCTCGTCTAATATATCTATTGCATCTTATTTGCAGTTCCCACGTACGTGCGACCTTTCCCTCAGAAAAGCTATAACCTTGAAGAGGGCTCAGCCCTATCCCTGGAGTGCGAAGCGGATGGCAGTCCACCGCCGTCAGTCCTTTGGTTTCGAGGTTCGTATTTATTTATTTTTTGCTTTTTTTATCGGTGAATAATTTTTAAATTTTCTTTCGTTTCACAGACGACGTGGAGCTGACCGAAGATACCGATCGGGTACGGTTATCTAAGAATGCCAAAGGTCTGGAGAATGGAAAGCTTGAACTCATTGACTTGGCCTTTGATGATCGTGCGAATTACTCCTGTTCTGCCACGAACATGTTCTCGGAAACTCGAGTCGCAACTTTCGTCCGTGTAAAAGGTCAGTGTCGTCATTTCTGGTTTCGTTGCTAGGATGAAGTAGTTGCTGAGCTCCTACACGTGTTATGGCAGACAAACTGGCAGCGTTGTGGCCTTTCTTGGGTATTTGTGCCGAGGTAATTATCTTGGTCGTAATCATCTTCTGCTACGAGCGGAAACGAACGAAGAATGCCGAAGACGAAGATGACGTGGATACTCCCGCGGCTGCATCGTAAGTTCCCATGGAAAGATGGTCGTTTGACCTGAAGCTGTGATGTATCTGATTGTCAGGCGGAGCACGGATGGTGGCGGCAAGAGTTCGGACGTCAGGCAAAGGAAATAAATGAATAGTGAAGTTGTTCGTGAGCAACTGCACCCGCCACGGGACGACTTTCTCGGTTCAGCCAGACGTTCATTTCTTCCCTTTTCCGCCGCACTGACGGTTTATAGCGCTGTGGAAAAACTTGATGCTTGAAATGTTGGATGGGATAGTTCTGAACGCGGCTTGAGTTGGGATTTCTGGCTCGATGATAGATGTTGCGTCCGTTTTTGAGTGCGTGCTGGCCTTTGCTGCATGAGATTTTCATTCGCTTTACCTTCCTTCAGCAACTGTTGAGGATCTACGTTTCTGACGGGCGTGCAGGGAAGTGTCTTGAATTTTGACTTCTTGTGTGAGTGCGGGATTTTTGAATGTTCGAACACGTCCAGGGCATTTTCTCGATGTTGTTATTTCCTGTCCCAGCTGGCAAAGGAGGAACGTGGTAAATCTCTGGGGACGACGTTGTTGGGGGGCGGGGGGAGTGGGGTGTTATGAATGCAATCGCCGTCTGTCACTCTTTGAGCGAGACTTGCCCAACTCGTTCGCGCTGTGCGTTTCCTCTCGGTTTTTTCTAGATTTTGATTTTGTGCGGAAGAGGCGTGATGCTTGGCGTGTGGCGCCGAGTGCAGTCGACATTGTCGCTCTCCAACATCGAATCCCTCCTCGACAGCCAGAGCTCCCGGATGAATTGGTGCTTGGTTTTACCATTGATTTCGTTGTGTCGGGAAGAGTGATCGTGCGTGTGTGTTTCGTATGGCGCTGGCGGCTCAAAAAGAGCGCCCTGTTGTTTTCTTGTAGACTTCAAAGGCATCGATGCCAACGCTTTCAAGCCTCGCCGAAAGTGCCGATCGTGCTGTGTGAGACGCTGCGCGAGCGTAGCTGGTCGCAAGTCATACCGTCGATTGCTTGGCGACTCTGGCTGTCCCCTCCCTGGCGATCGCGCCCTTGATGTTTCTTTTCTCCTGTGATTTACTCGCGAAGTTCTTTTCCTCAGCGGTCAATGAAGGCTCTGGGTTTAGTAGAGTTCGTAGGGGTCACAATTTTGGGGGGAGGCTGCTCGTGAACAACCTTGGGCGCGTAGGGCAGAATCATCAAAATTTTACATCGTTTGCGTTCGTCAATGAGCCAACCAGTTAATGAGCGTCGAAGGGAAAAGAATATTTATTGGTGCTAGCGTGCATGTGTTGGATGAAGGTTCACTTTACGCATGATGTGCGTGCGAATGAGGTAATCGAGGTGTTTTGGGGGAGAATTGGGCCTAGTGAGCGCCATCGCGGCTAACAGAGCATCTCAGCTGTCCCGTCAACTGCGGCCCGCCTCTCTCAGCTCTTCGCGCGGAACGATCTGTAGCGCTGTATTCGATTTAGTAACAACTTCGTGCCGGGTATTTTGGAATTTTCCATGAAGCGCAGACCACTTTAATCCGTTCGGCGCTTGTGTTGAAAGAAGTGAATGCGGTTTATCTGAGCAAGGTTTTACGAGATTCTTTAGGGACTCAGCTTCCAGTTATGCATGACAAATCGTTATATAAGAGTGAAGTGATAGAGGAGTCCTCTCTAGGCATTCAAGATTCTCACATATTGATCCAGTATTTCCGTGCTTGTTGGTTTTAACCTGATTGCGTTCAGTTGAACCAATTTTTTTTTTAATTCCCGGGAGGGTGTCCACTTTTTTGTCGATTCTAATGTCGGATGGTTTTTTGAGTTGTATCCTTCCACCTCCATGTACCCCACGTTTTGTTGCATGTATGTTTTTGTTTCTAGTCGCGAGTCCTATTCCGTAAAAGCAATGAACGCATTGGAGGCGAGTCCCTTGGGGTTGATTTTGTTGGATGCTGGGGTTGGTCGACAGTTGAGCATAACTGATGTTCTGGCGCTTCAGTTCCCTGGCCGCGGTGTAGGAGATTTATTTTTACAAACGCTGTCGATTTTCTGTTCCTGAGGATTTTGCCGCATTTCTCTTCGTTCGGTTTCATCATTACTTCATTATTCGCTCGTTGCATCCAGTCTATACCGGGACTCGCTGCTGTTCGTGTGGGGATTATTCCGGGTTTGAAGGGATCTTCGCAAGCGTTGGGGAAAATCAACAAGAGATTGCATTATGCAGTACGGTGCACTTCTTTATCTCTTTCGTCATTTTCAATTATTTTCCTCTCTTGTTTTTGAACTTGTTCTTTTCTACAAAAAAAATAAAATAATAATAGGCTTCAAAATATGAGTCTTTGCTTACTTTTGATCGTTACTTATTCCTTCGTCAATCTTTTTTGTGTTTAACAAAGCGAAAATATTCGCTTGTAGTATGGTGACTGCATTTTTAGACGAACAGCTTTTCACTGACTCCTTTGAAAATAGATCCTGGTAAGTTGCGTGAGTCCAGATCGCCGAAACCCTTGGACAGACCTGCTGATGGGTGTGAGGTTTGCAAGTCTCGAAGCAAGATTTCAATTCTTGGAAACGGTGAGTATTTCTGTGGATATTTTGTTTTTCGACGTTGTTCTGATGCTGGTAATTCTCGTTTGTGTTACATCGTCCGTCTGCGAAAGCTAATTCCGAGCTACAAATGGATTCAATATCTTTTGATGTTTCGTCGGCAAAGATCGAATTGTTCTGCGTGCCCAAAATTTACTACTCTGAGTCCGGGGAAGCTGAGGATTGTGCGCTTGATTCTGTGGAGGAAGTCAAATGGCAAAGAGGTTTGACGCGTTGGAATTCTTCGCTTCAATTATTTGTGAAACTTCAATGGTCCCTTGTAGAGGGGGAAGACCTCACTGATTCAGACAATCTGTACATATTGCACAATGCTACGACGCTGGTTTCGCGAACATCTGCGAATATGAAGCACCGTGGACTTTATAGCTGTTCCGTGCGCACCGTCCGATGTTCCCTGAATGTGTCATTCCATGTAAACGTTCGAGTCTATATGGATGCCCTTTGGCCTTTTCTGGGTATAATTGTCGAGTGTCTTGTAATGTCAGTCATAATTTTGATTGCCGAAATCAGTCGTAGACGGAGAAAAAAGAAAGAAGCTGAACAAGATGAAGCCCGTAGACAGAGGTATTCATTTTACATTCTCCGGGTTCATTTTACATTGTTCAAGACAACGTTCGTTCACAGGGTACTTCAAAGAGAACCTTTGGAAAACATGATGAAAGATGCTGATCAGCCCACTCCCAAAGCATCATGATTTTTCATCCCTCCAGGAACTGGTCGTTCAGCTATTTACATCAGTGATAATGTATTGTTTTCCGTCTTCGACGTATATACTTGATGTCCTCGTCTGGATGAGAAACTTATTCATTATTCGAAGTGTTCGTTTGATTATTTTCTTCAGCTAACTAAGATTTAACTTGAAGTCAACAGTTTTTCGCACGGTTCGGTTGCCGTCATCTGTTGCAGAATGAAATCGACGTGTTGTCTACCTGTGATTTCTTCACGGATTCTATGCTATCGACAGTTCTATAAGCATGTACGATCGGTGGATTCAGACGAGTCTAACCGGAATTCTACGACTGAGAGAACGCGTCATGCGTACCGAACAGTATCGCCGTGGCAAACCAAGGCCGAGCTTATTGATGAACTGAAGTCCAATATTTTGCATTTAGACGAGAACATGGTTGTGTTGAATAAACCCTACGGCCTCCTGAATTATGGTTATCCAGCTACAAGAGCCGACCGTGCGAAGAATTACGCTCTCTACATGGGTGAGTTTTTTCTTGAACGACGAACCAATGAATTCACCTGATAATTATGCGTTAAAGGTGTTGCGGCTGCCGATCGATTCCATCTTCATGGATGCATTCCTGAATTGGAAAACATCACTGGGCTTGAGAATCTGAAAATAGCAAGTACCATTGACCGTTTCTGTTCGGGGCCCGTTATCCTCTGTACCCCGTCTGGGTCAGAACAAGTCGAGAAATTAAAATCTGCTGGGAATCTTCGTCGCTCATACTTGGCGTTGACGGTCGGTGCACCAGTACCCCCTACACGAGATACATTCGGGTTCGTTGTGCGGATGGACCCTCTGCAGACTAATCGTGACCTAACCGCATTTACAGTAAGTCACTAGGGATTTTGTGAATCATTGTTATTGCGATTGATAGGAAGGATCTGCGCGTATACATTTAGGGCTGGTGGAATTTCGGAACTCATGGTGGCTTAGGATACATTTTGTTATCCGTGCCATCTTTTGTGAACGTGAATATTTTTGGAAGCGATTTTTTTTAAATTGTTGAAAATTGTTTTATGAGCGGAATATGTTGGCTTTTCAATTGCGTCGGACTCATTCCTTGATTGTTGCGTGTAACTAGAAGGAATTAATCGATGAATTAGGATCTATCTTGCGGCCTTTTTTGTTCATCTTAAGGCCTTTTCTTCGCAGCCTGTCATCAGTTTCGATTACCCGAAACGGCGAGAGAATCGCTTGAAGGAAGGGATGATCTTCGTTAAGTGCTCATATGCGACCTTGTCGAGCCGTCACGGTGCTGCCGTTGTCCGACTTCAAATTTCGAAAAGTTCGAAAAACAGTATCCGCTTGATCACAAGCCATATGCTGTCACCTATTTTGGGTGATCACATATTCGGGGCGAGAGTGAAACATATTTTGGGAGTCCCGGTTCCGGTGTCTCCGCGGAACCGAGCCTCAGAGGGTCCTCAGGTACGAGAGGTTCGATTACTATAAGCATCGTGTGATTCAACATTGATCCTATTTCAGGAATTGCCGGAAGATTTAAGCACAAGACTTCGTGTGCCTAAAACGAACCCAACCATGGTGCCACTTCATCTTCACAATGTCTCATTGAGTTTGAAGGGATCCAAGAGATCGCTAGAAATAGTCGCTCCTCCCCCCGCCCACTTTTTGTATTCGTTGAAAGCATTGCAACTGATTTCTGATGTTGGCATATTGAAATTGCTACAGCTTGCTGGAAATTCTTCGATGAGTGAATGAAATATCCGAACTTTTTTCCGGCGTTTATCTTTTTTATATACAAAAGAATGTGATGTCGGGGTCGATTGATTTTGAGCATTAACTTGGGAGATTTTCGTGCAGCAATCATCTTTCATTGTACGAACAAGGTGAGGTCTGAAATTACTGTCATACATACAGTCTATTGAGGTTTTACCGTGTGTCTTCGTTCAACCACGCTCCAAATCACGTGATGTTCAACATTGAAAAACAATAATTGACCAACTTTTAATTGCAGCAAGAAAACCATGTGTAAACTTCATCCCAAAAGAAATTAAGTCCATAGTTGGATCATTATTTCTAATTCGGGTCACCATCACTCATACGCAATATAAAACACGTTGCCACAAGCCAGAACATGTACCATATCAGCGTACAAATGTTATTTGTACCCTACTGTAGTATTGATATATAACACTGCACTGTATTATACAATACTGCTGCATTCTCACAATTGTGTTGCACATTCATTAAATTCTGATTGTATTTGGTACTTCTATTCCTTCTGATACGTATGGTATGAAATGAACAAAAAATTGTCTGCAATCACATGTTGAACTGTGAAGGAATGTTCGTACTACATTGACAAAATGTACTACCTATCATCCCAATACAACCACAATCTTTCTCTTGTACGTTGTGCATGAGTGACTTCATCAAAAGGGAACGCAGCAGCGGGGTACAAGTGCAGGTTTTGAAGCCTGTTCAACTACATTTTGGTTCATACTCTGAAGCAATGGAATACATAACTATTCTGCAAATATTTTCAAAGAGCAAGGAATTCAATTTAAATGTATGCAACAATTGGGGTTGATTAGTTGAGATTAACAGAGTGTTCCAGTGAGTTAGTACAGGTTTCAACAATGCTGCACAAGTTCTAAACTCTTGTCCTGCAGAAGCTGGTCACTTGTCCATTCATTTTCAATATTTGGATTTCCAAAAATTGATGAACTGGACCTGTTCTGTCTCTTCACAACAGGTATTCTTAAAACCTGATGTTTCTCTTTTCATTAATATATTAAATGTAATTTTTGAATCCCTTAAATCAAGTTCCATCTGGCAAATTGAAAGCACCGCCTATAATTTGAAATCTTGCATAGTTATACTTTTGTCCGGACATAAGATTTGATCTCATGTTGCTTTTGAAGTGCAGTCTTTAATTTGAATTAAATCTTTATTGGGCAAAATTCTAATATATGGTTTGTTGATTTTTAATTTGAAGCAATGGAAAGGAAGTGCAACTGAACTAACATATTATACACTTCAAGAATCATTTAACGACAAAAAATTTTTGCGCTTCATTTGTTATCCTATAGGTTCATATCAATTACTGACCTTCTGTGCTAATATTCCATTATGACTGGCTCAGTTTTTGCACTTCGTATCATCACATTCAACGCTGATGATAGCTTTGGAGTTCGATTTGCGTAAGTATTGTCCATTCACTCCCTTCTACGAATTTCATCGAAACAGTTGAACGGGATTATTCTTGAATTTATTGTTATTTTGTTCTTGATACATTTTGCTGAGCTCATCTGGAATCTCATCCAATATTTCTTACCAGTCATGTTCTTCTCTTGCTTCCCTGACACCATCTCATCATCAATAACCAGCAATTCAGTTGACGTATGTCTGTATAAGTTATTAAAAATGATTCAAGAATTACTTGAAAATAAATTACAGATGTAATGACAGTCAATTTATTAATACCTTAGATATTTCAAGAAATAATTCCCAGCAATTTTTTTTTTTAGTTTCCATTTCCCAAAACGTTTATCATAAAAAAATGCGCAATAATATATGTTAAGTTTCTTGAAGAAGATGCTGTGCATGATATAAAATGGAAGGTTTTACCGATACATATGCAGTTTATATAGCTTCGCTAATGTAACATGACTGGCCAGGAAAAGTGTGCTGTGCTCTTACAGTATAAGTGGATTACTGGAATGAAACGAACTTCCAGCAGGAACCACAGCAGCAATTGAAACGTTACTTAATGCTGCACATCATGGAGCGGTCTATAGTCTATACGCTTTTCTCAGCATCACTGATGCAGCAAACTGCATATTAGCTAGGTTCAATGTTTCCCTAAAGTTTCTTCAATCTGTAAGATTATTATACCCCTGCTGAAGTGCAGTACTGTAAAAAAAAATGTACCTACCCCATTAATTATAATTACAAACACAAAATATGTTGCTGCATGTATCTTATACAAAAAGTGGAGAAATTAATCATGGAGAGAGATTAATTTAAACTTGAATGTAGTATCTTCAGAAGGTTTAAAATTTCAAAATTAAATTCAGCTTGAAAAATGTCAACTAGAAAGATGACCAACATGCAAGCATATGCATACAGTATAGGCTTTCAACTGAATTATATACATTTTAATGCTGTTTTGGGCATTTCAGAAAACTTCAAGGGACAAACCTCGAGAAATACTGTAATTTCGACCAAAAGAACAGCGCGTAGTATGGATTTAATGCAGATTAACCACTTGTTCATTTTGGATGAAATGAAGAAAATATGCAGAATAGGAAAGTCTTGCTCGGTTTAGCGACATCTGCTGTAAATTTGAAAAACGCGTACAGTGTTGTTTCGGAAGTGGCCGTTGCTGCATGTGCGCTGCGAATGAGCCGTGGGTCACCTCAGTCAAACCAGAGGGGCGTTGGGACTCAGTTGAGGATAAGGAGCGGTAGAATAATGTGGTTGTTTGTAGGGTGAGTATCGTGGTCCGTGAGGAACGCGGTCTTGCTGAAGTTTGACGAACGGATCGCTTATCTTCCTCGGAAGATGTGATCCCCGTCCGTCTCTTCCGAAGGTGGATGTATTCAGTGCATCGTTGCCCTGCACTCAACAAATAAAGCCATGAGGGCACCCGCATTCACCGCGCGAATGCAGTATGTATCTACTCGTTCTTGTGGTTCTTGCGACAGATATCTGTTGCGCGCTGAGATGGCCGGTTGTGAATTTCTCGATTCGTTCCGATTAACCATCTCGTGAGTTATAATTCTTTCAAGTTGTGTGAGATCGTTGAGGGCGCTTCGCCCGATGATGAATAATTTCATGCTGCTCTTGAAAAAAAAAAATACCTGAAACGTTCCACGCCGCTTTCCATATCACTTCAGTAAATCTGGCATTCAATCTGTGATTTGCTCGAGTTTAAAACTTAGTTGGAAAGCCTAATCTGCATTCCGTAAAACGTCGCTGAAAAAGGTGCGTGTTAAATTCGCTGATTAGTTGAGGATTGTTCCCGTAGAACATAATATTTTTACCTCACGCACCGTGAGTATAAATTTCAGTCGAAGAAATGCTCATCACTTTTTTTTTTTTGCTGAGGCATGAGGGTTAAAATACTGATTTATTCTTGGTGTTCGAGATTACGTAGTTAACTGCAGGAAAGAAACAATCTAATCCCCGAATCCTGGAAAAATCGAATGCAATGAAAGCGTGTCGTAAATTTTCAGGCGAAATTATTTTCATATTTGAAGCACTGACTATGAGTGCGTTCTATGAGTAACTGCTTTCTTAAAATTCCAGTAGATTGTGCAGATTTCGTTCGTAAGTTTCGACGATTTTTCGGGCGAAATATGCTTTTGAGCGAAGCCGGTTTCTTCGCAGGTATTACCAGTTGAATTTGACGATTGACTGTATAAGAAGTGCTAATTGTGAATTGTCGTCACGGCCTAATTCCATAATTAGTACGTACAGTACGTAATTTTATATTTTTTTTTTCTTTTTGGGAATACTGTCCTTCGATTATTGAATATATCTACGTTCAAGGCATTCGCGTTACTCTGGTGCAATACTGTATGTCAATCCTGCGTTTCATTTCGGAGATCCTCAGAATTCTGAGCGTTTTTTCTGTTATCCCAAGCTAAGAGTTTCCGATCATTTCCTCGAGTTCGCCAGATGCTTAGTCGATATCTCGGAAAAGTATCATTGATAATGGTATTCAGCGTTTGGACGGTATATGGTCGATCAATTTTTTGAAATTATTGGTAGAATTAATTTTCAAAACCCCACTTTTTCATAACTTCATTGGTAGAAATAATTTTCAAAACCCCACTTTTTCATCACATAACTTTTTTTGTTGACAGCCTTATGAACAGTCCGTGTCGACGTGAGCTTGTAAAAAGTTTCGTGCATTACTGTCCTTTATGATCTCGGTAGATCAGTAAAGTCGCGATTTCTCGCCGTCACCTGGGACAAATGCAACCTAGAATGTGTGCCCCTCACTGGAAGCTCGTCTCCTCGGGCTAGCGACGGCCACCCCTGTGGTCACAGTTCCTGTGGAGTGATTCCTGCTGACACTTCCGACTTGGTGGGCGGAGGCTCGGGCTGCGAGCACTGGAAGGTCTTCCAACACGGGGAACTTCGGCTGCAAGTGTTGTTCCTCTTCTCCTGGAGGAAGAAATGATGGTGAGTCTGTCCGCCTAATCGATGGATATGTTGATTGCCTGAGCATGACACAACGACCGACTGAACGGTATGTGCGAGACGTTTGCGCCGAACGTTTTGCGAAATTTTACTGATGTTATCGGACGCGTCGGCTTTCGAGGGATGTCCCTGCTTACTTCCATTAAATTTACGGGAGTACTGTACTGTATTTGCAGATCGTTCATATTACAACTTGAGGTGTTTCCGAAAGAATGCGCGAAGAGGTGCGATCTTATGAAGTATGCAAATATGGAAATTTGTTTGCTACCGCGTAGGGTGAAGTTGCATTTCTTCTGGAATGTTCAGTATTCGTAGGATATCACTTTCAGCTACATTTACAGTACTTCAATGTTGTTGCGTCCAAATTTCTAGAACAGCGCGCTTGAAGCTAGAGTACCCTATCTTCTTCGTGCGAGTTGCAAATCTCATCCAACTTTCCCGGGTTTCTAGTTTTCAACGTAGAATTTCCTGTGAAATATTCCTGTACGTACAGTTCTGGAGTTCACAAGAATTTCCGTGATGATGCACGAGCGGAAATTTGTCAAGCTTGCTTTTACGTTCGCGATGGAGTTGCATCATAGCTTCTCATGCTGTGCCTCTCCTTCATTTTAGGTTTATAATTTTTCTGAACAAAATTTCGATTCCAGATGTAAATCCGATCTTCACTAATTTTTTTCCGTCACTCTGACCATCGTCAGACTTTTGAGCTGCTTAATGGTATAGTTTCTTGGCATTTTCATTGAAGTTGCAAAGGAAATAGAAGCGTGAGAGCTTTACTAATTCACGAGCTCTAGCTGGTTCAAGATTCATTTGGATTTCGTGAGGTCGCCAGTTTTGGGAGAGGAGCGCGAGTGGTTCATTCGAATGACTCTTCGTTGAGCGAAATAATTATTCCGTCTTTTTGGAAGAAGTCGGAGAATACGACTGTGATATTTTAAATATTGAAGAAATCCTAAGAAGGCGTTTGAAGAAGAAATTTCATGGTGGCTGTTTTTCATGCTGCCCTCTGTTGCGACATCCCGGCGAATTCTCTTTCATTTAATGCGCATTTGACGCCAGGTAAGAAAGGAACAACGCAAAGTTGGGCAGTGATCAAGGAACGGGAGGGAAAAATTCACCCCAACTTGTGCTTGGTGGGTGGTCGAATGTTTCAAACGATAGTTTCTTGTTCTGGCTCACAAGATAGCTGTGGAGTCCCTTAACGCGATTGTCGGGATTATACTGAAATGACTATCGTAATAATTAGTGTAAGATATATACAATACAGGTTTTGTGGAGTTTTATCGCGAAATATTGCGAGGTCTTCATCGATGCTTCTCTGGTCTTGGTGGCATAAGATAACGCTTCACCACAGCGGTTGCGACGTAGAATGTGATGTCTGAGTTTTCTTTCATGCTGTTACCGACACCGTAGGGAAAAGCGCGTGATATTTCACCGAAGTCGACGGATGAAAGTCAACCTTTTTCCGTCCTTCCCGAGGAGGAGCTGCTAACGTTCATTCGCTATCTATTGTTACTTAGAAGGATGAGTTAAATTTGATGGAGAGGAATCTTAAACTTTCGGCGAAATCCCACAAGGAAGCTCTCTATGACCCGCAGAAGTGGCCGAGGAATAAAACGTCAGAACTACCTACTCAATCTTATCTAGATTATGTCTCCCACGAAGCGCGAAATGTGGAACAAATCGAGGCATTCCCGTCATATCAGCAACACCCCGTTGCTGCCGGTCTTGGAGGTTTTCCTCATGTACGCTTGGCGCTGGGGTGATAGCATTTACTCCTTGGGAAATCCGGCGAGGAAAAAATGGAGGCCATTACGCTCATGTCATTTGAATCGACATCTCCATCGAAAACCAGGCATTCTACGATAAATCCGAAATGTAAATCATTATGGAGCGTTTTTGAGCCCTAGACTTCAGACATCCTTTGTTCTCAGCCAACGAGGCATTTTCCCTTATAAGTACCGCGAGAATCATGGAAAATCATACTGTACGCTCTACCTTCATATTTGCCATTTTTATAGTTATTCGAAATTTAAAACATCCATGAAAAACACAGTATTTGTACATCGTTCGTTTAGGAAGAATGCCTGGGAAAGGCCGTGCTTGAAAATACATTCTGTGGCAGTAGTATCGTAAAGATTTATTTAGTTCACGCGCTGTTTTTCTGTAAAATTCTGTCGAATGAGATAAGAAGGAAAAACGTCAGCGTATATAGTTATCGAATTGCTGGTTATGCATATTGTGACGTTCTAGTGTCAGTTCTGTTTATAGAAGTCGTTTCAGAGTATCCCGTGGGAAAGCTTACGTTCCTGTCATGCATTCTTTGAGATAAAGTTCGGCTGAAATTGATGAGTGTTTGAACAAGAGCAGTCCATCTGACATACGCCGTAGCGATTCTTTGGAATGAAAGCCAACAAAAACCTGTGCGTTTTGATGAGTTTCATGAATGTTGCGCCTTCATGCCTCCGTTGAAGAATGACTTTATTCGTTGATTCAAGAATGTCGATTGGCCAAAAACGTGATCGCTGAGCGAAATCGTGTATGCTTTACATGACGCCGAATTTCTAACTGTGTTTTTAACTTTGTATCCGAAAATCCACGGGTGAGTTTTGATAACATTCCGAGACTGTGTGGGTCCCTCAATTCTGCGTTCATTTTATTGGCATCATTGACATCATTTCGGTGTTCAGTAACATATGTTGAGTTTTGTGAATATACCTCAGACCATGCCGAAATTTCCTTCTTAAGCCAAACTTGGACTAAAATTGAAAGTTCAGAATGCGCTAAGTTCGCCATTGAAATCGTCTGTTGTTCGATTTCGAAACTCAAACGGCCCATGTCCTTTTTATGGTGCTTTATATGCATTATAATTTTTCGATAACTCATGCTTCATTTCCGTAAATGTGCGCACCAGTCTTTCCACGTCGTATTAGTGTTCCGAACAAAATTTGGCTGCTGGAAGAGCATTCGCTGAAGGCTAGGTCAAATTTAAAACTACTGTACAGTACAATTTTTGTTGTCGCTCAATTAGCCCTTTTCCTACTATTTTTTCATGACAGAGCCGCATTAATTATTCCGACAGCTTTATTTTGAGTTACTTCAGGAAGTTACATGTCTGCATGCACAAAAATCATTTGATTCCGTTTTCAATTTTTTTCTAGTGCTATTAGATGCTTCTTCGTTTTATTTTGATGGGTCTCGCGGGAACTCCTAGCTGAGCCTTGAAAGCTTAGAACAGACTAAGCTTGGCTGGAGTAATTTAAATTGCGCTTTGAAAAATGTTGACTTCATGAATTGAATACATTATAGAGACTATTCAAGAATATTCATTCTATAAATTAAGCGTGTATGAAGAATGTTTGCTGCATAGATTGAACTGTTGACAGGTTTTTGGGTTGCTGTTCTGAATATTTTGAGAGATGAAGTATCAATTAATGCCTTTTCAACGCCGCACTGTCATGACGTGGGGGCCCCTAAAGTGCATGGTGCAATCAAGGAGAAACTAAAGCTGCAATTGACCTTCGAACGTTAACTCGCACATAAAGTGTGAACTGTATTAAGCAATTCTGGTGTTTCATGGAGTAAAGCGGCCATAATAATACATTAGGTGTTCGACATGATGTCATTTGTGATGTAGAAGGGCCTTGGCACATCACAATATCATATTCGCATGCGTTGGTGGATTTAGTGTTGTGATCCAATCGGCAATCACGGAGGTAGAGGAACTGCCCGATCAGCGGAAACTCGGTTATTCATGTTGCTTCTTTTGTTTGGACTTCAATGTAAGACGCGTGCGAAGGACAGCCGTGCTCCGGTCTCGCAACGCGTGTTTGTTGGATGGAATCTATGCTTTCCGAAGCATTCCCCATATCTGCACTCGGCCGTGGATCGTGTGAACGCGACGTCGTCGCGAGGCGCCGCGGCCATAAATCATGCATGGCAAACGCGATCGTCGCCGATACGGGGTGTACGAATGCGGTCAATTTCGCCGGTCGCGTATTCATTCATTCCTCGAGGGAACTCGACGCCTTGAGCGTGTCACCTGCGTGCATCTCTCGCGGATGAAATAACTATCGCTGTGTTCCTGAATCGAATTATGGCCCAGATCTGCGCGTTCTTCTCGATCTTTCGTCTCCTGTTTCGGATCAATGCTTCACGGATTTGTTGCGGGCCAAAGGCTTCAGCAAGTGTGTTCCAGTATTCACTGATGAGCGTGGACACATGAATCTGGAAAAACTAGCATGCCTCTCGGATATTCCGGCTCTCAATGGGATTTTTCTGGTTTCTCTAGCAAATGTTGTCAACCTCCATGACTTATGAGCTCCGAAAGCAATTATTACACAGTACAAAAATGATAAATATGTATACAGTATATATACTGTACATATATTATTTTTTTTTTTCACTTTGCAGCCTCGAATCATAGACGTAGTTTCCTAGATCGAATTTTCTAACTCCTTTGTCTTATTTTTCTTGAAGCCTTTTTGTGAACGATTTTTGTGGAGAACCCCCTGCAGCCAAATGTCAAATCTAGCTATTTTCTGGTCTCCTAACAAATAAAAATTCGAGTGTTGTCTGCCTAATTTATTGGCATGACGTAACTGTCCTTCTGAGTTTTTTACAGCCATTTTTGAGGTTGACTCTGGTTAAGATTTTCTTTCATTAATTTTTAACAGACGCGGGTCCCCTGGTTGGGCTCTGCGAAGCGCAGAGTTCAATCTCTGTTCAATATTGTAATTTGTTTGCTTTACTCCCTGAGCCGATGATATATTTCTTTATGTGGACATTTGAAGAGGTCTTTACCTCTGGGGATTGTATGTGGAGCCCCGGTAGCACCTCGGATCACTGAGTTAGATTTCAGAGTTTTGAGCTACTGATTTTCCGGGGCATCATCCTGTGTTTCTCGGCTTTCGTATGAGGGGAACGGACTTGGACAAGAGTTTATGAATTGTTGCCGAGCTTTGCTGTAATGCACGTCAG